GCAACACACATCTTAATTTTTCTTTTGTTGATGGGTGAAAATGGAATGGTAACCCCGCCTGCGCTAACGGGATACGCTGGCGGAGCACCAGTGAAGGGTGATAGATGAGAATGAAAACAGGCTAGTTAACCCATCATGATGAAATCTTCAGGAATTAACCAAGATAGTTTCCAGGAGGAACTGCGTGGAGGTAGACCTAGTTGGGTATATTGCTAGCAATAGAATTCTCAGTCTACATTACTAACAATCCCTTTCCCCCCACATATCTTATTAATTAATATTATAAATGCGAAAGTTTGTAATGATGGCTCGATTGATGGATGTTCCTCTTTCACGATTTGAAAGAAATTCAAATTTGAAAAAAAAACAGACTCCAATTGTAGCTAAACCTGTTTTTTTACATTTAAAAACTAATTTACTGAACCTATTTTGATATTTTTTTTTATACAACTTAGAATGGCAAACGAGCTGACAGCCCACCTGATGGAAAGTGGTAACCGTCGCCTATAGACACAAGCAGTACCGTGGAGATAACAGAGTATGCTGTTTCACCCGTGATACCCCCCATGCGTTGCCATTCCTGAGGACTCAGGTGTTATTCCTCTGTACCCTGTCAATTCACGCCATATCCCATCCTTCAAACTGAAACACAGCCATGCAAACACAACTGCTTCACGGTAGAAACACAAATAGGACAGAGGTACCCAAGCCATCGACTTTTGTACAAAGTCTCCCTCTGGTAAAATTTCTATAGGACCAATCTGAACGTATACCTACCCTTTTAGATATGAAATGATTTTTTCAAATCGACTGGGAACCCATCCTCACACGCTTGAAACTAAACGGTCACGTACAGTGCAGTTTCGAAGGAATGTTCCCCCGCGAACACTAAGGCTGTGGAATGAGCTCCCTGCCGAGGTTTTCCCTACAGACTACAGCATGGGGTTCTTCAAAAAGGGTATATTTAGGTTTCTTCAGGGTCGGCGACGCGCACGTGGCACGTTTACTATTAGAGCTGGCTGTATGCTTGTTTTCCATGGTTGTTGTATAAAAAAAAAAATTAAAACGTAGACTCTATCTATATGTTATTGACCAATGTATGCACAATAACCGAGTTAAACATTGCATCATCGTGCATCAGGCGGTAGGTATGTCATTACACAGCCATTAGTCAGTTTGTTGAAGAGAAAGATTTGTTTGTAATTATTTATTAATTTGATTCATAATTAACTTATTATTCGACAGGTTAACATCCACGCAGTTCTGTAAATTAGGTCGACCTCCACGTGGTTCCCCCTGGAAACCATCGTGAACAATTCTTTTTGAATTCGTCACGATGGGCTAACTGACCTGCTTCATACTCACCTATCATCCTTCACTGGTGCCCCGCCAGTGTACACCGATAGCGCGGGTGGGGTTACCATTCCATTATCACCTTTAAAAAAAACTGGCCTGACTTCATCCCCACCTATCATCACCCACTTGTGCCCTGTCACTGTCAACCAATAACACATGCTAGGTTACCATTCCGTGTTCATTTATTTAAAAAAAAAAAACAGCTAATTAAAGCTAGTTTTTTTTAGCTAAACTATAAATTATAACAACGTGATATTTGTTTACAATAACTAACTAAATAAATTGGTAATGAAAAAATTATGATACGAAGTATTCACACAAAATCATTAACACGAATACATCTCTTCATAACCTGAACAGTTTACTTCATGTTTGTGTTCCGGTTTGAAGAGTGAAATATGACAGTAAAATTACTGTGCACTGCCACTCGAGATCTTAATAATAACACGGGAACGCGCTAATGATGCCTCATGGGCTGGGAGACGTAGCATTTGGCAGACTTTATGTCCGATTCCCACACTCTTGTACAAAGAACTAAATAATACGTTTTTACAATCGACCTGAAATTGACAAGGCAAATGTTAGACCGGTCGGATGAGTTTTTTTTTTAATCACATTATGGGTCAGTTTTAAAGAATTTTCAAAAGGAGGAGAGATTCAATTCGCACTTATTTTGTTGTCACAGTCTATCCTGAATCTAATTTGATTTTATCCTATTGAAATTGATACATTTTACTCCCGCATTGATCCCCTATTGAATTATTAATTTTCTTTCTAGTAACAAAGGGTAAATCTTCTTGTAGACACATGTTTCTATTTACTAGACATTTTTTTATACAACTTAAAATGGCTGACGGCCCACCTGATGGAAAGTCATAACCGTCGCCTATAGACATGATCAGTACCATGGACATAACAGAGTATACTGTTTCGCCCATGATACCCCCCATGCGTTGCCATTCCTGAGGACTCAGGTGTTATTCCTCTGTACCCTGTAAATTCACGCCATATCCCACCCTTCAAACCGAAACACAGCCATGCAAAAAATATATTTATGAATATTAATTGAAATGTTTAAAATCATATTTAAAAAGTATGCACTGAGATATGAGTAAAGATAGACACGGATAGAACAAAACCGTTATAAGACCGGTTGAATGAGTCATGGTATTTTTTTTTTGATGGGTGAAAATGGTATGGTAACTCCGCCTGCGCTAACGGGATACGCTGGCGGAGCACCAGTGAAGGGTGATAGATGAGAATGAAAACAGGCCAGAGAATGAATGAGATGAATTCATCAGGAATTAACCATGATAGTTTCCAGGGGGAACCGCGAGGAGCTCGACCTGTTTGGGTATATTGCTAGCAATGGGATTCTCAGTCGCCATTACTAACAATCCCTTTCCCCCCTGAGTCATGGTATTTAAATATTCTCTTTTCTGTGATTGCTTTCTGCAAGGTTTTTTTATTTATAATCTGTAGAAAAGTTATAAAACGGTATTTCCTTCTATTACATTATACAATATAACAACAATGACAAGACGTACTTCGAAAACAGTTTTAACTTGTGAATAGGGATGGGAATTGTTAATAAACGTCTTAAAAATGTTAAAACGTTGAACTTTTTTAGCTATAAAAATGGTGTAAAAAAAAAAGCGCATAAAAAGACTTTTACATTAATGTTTACCCAACTTTAAAAATGAGGAGATAATAGCTAGCACAGTCAGTTTCACTAGTCGGTTTATTGTCAAATGTGTATTAAGATTTTTAGAGCTTTACTAAATCAATAATCACAACTGATACTTACTCACGATAAAATATATTAAAGCGGTAAGTTATTTATTAACAGAGTTCAAAAAATTAGGTTCTAATTGGGTTGTATTTTCTTATGTTTGTTACCTTACAACACAGTGAGTTGTAAACCGATTTGGAAAATCCTTTTTTTATCTGAAAGGATATACTTACAAATTATTCCCGTGGAAATTTTATCAAAATCGGTTCCGCAGTTTAATTTTTAGACCAGGTTTTGCCATAACTTAAGTCAGTTTGTTTTTCTTGTAGAACGCATTAATTATTTACTATTTTTTTTTTCTGTACTTTTAAATACCCATCTCCGTCTATTTTTCCATATTATAACAGGAAGCATATAGATACGCATCAATAGAAAAACAAATATATAATTTATACAGAAATGTATTGTTATTTCCGTGTATTTTTTCTTTTTCTAAATCCCGATAAATAACAATCCAAAGTTGGCGAAACTAGTTATAACCCAATAACGCGTGGGCCGCGATCACTGTGACATTCGCTAACACGTTACGGTTATCCATAACGTGTTAACGATATATTATAACTATAATTAGCCCGTTGACCTTATTATTAATATTGTGCGTTCCGTTTCATTGACCACGTTACTGATAGTGGTTGAAATATCAACCTAGATTTGAGGTTAACGCGGACAGTAGGCAGATACATCATTTTAGGTTTTCGTACGTAGACCGCTATCTGTTTGTTATTATCTCTTAGATACGAGAGCTATGTAGACCGTATGGAAAAAACAATTATTATATTTTAGAGCATACATATTTCGAATGCCGTGTGTTAGACGTGACATATGATGACATAGAATACGCCACCCCTACCTTACTCGTGGATGTCGTAAGATACGACTGAGGAAACTGAATGGTAAGCCTAAGTGCTGTTGCCAACCCGTCTGCCAAGTGTGGCAACAACAAACAAAACACCCCCTTACAAGGGGGGAAAGGGATTGTTAGCAATGGAGTTTGACAGCCCCATTGCTAGCAATATGCTTATTAGCACGACCTCCACGTAGTCCCTGGAAACCATCATGGACAATTCTTGTTGAATTCGTCACGATGGGCTAACTGACCTGCTTCATCCTCACCTATCATTCTTCACTGGTGCTCCGTCGGTGTATACCGATAGCGCGTGTGGGGTTACCATTCCATTATCATCCATTAAAAAAAAACACCCCCTTATCTGGAAAGTAACTAGTTAATAGATTAACCAGTTAATTAAACTGATACGATACGACATTTCGAATGACAGCGGAAGGCTCGCCCCTTAAACGTTACATTCTAACATGCTCGGCGAAATGTGGGCATCAGTGTTACATTCAACACAATGGCAACAGTCCACAAATACCTTTAACCATCATCAAGGAATCATCAAATCAGCATTTAACTGTCCACTGCTAAACATAACATAACATTTATTTTTTTCCTCTATTCAAAAATTCACCGCTTACGTATTAAGCGGTTCGCCCGATGCTTGACTGGAAGAGAACACCGTCCAGTGTTAAGCCGAATGTAGATCTATTTTTACTGTGCATTAAAGTCTAACTAAATAAACACAGGTCTGCCCCTATTAGGGGATTTTGCCAGTAGTTGCTATGAACGGCAGGTAAGTTGGCAACCGCAATTAGCCTTTGGCGATGTTTTAAGAGGGGCGTTGCTGCCCACACCTCGACCAATTAGTTCTGTTAATCGCGTCTTACGACAGCTACGAGAAAAAAAAAGATTATTCAGGGATAGTTAGGGATTAACGGCTGTAAGCATGTTGAGATATTTGTTTTTTTTTTTTTTTTTAATTAATCATCTTCCTATCCTTACCCCAACTATTAGGGGAGCACGGGGGAATCAGAGCCACAGGGTAATGAGAGCTACTCTAGTTTACATGCTTCTTGACAATTTAGACCCTGTTTTGTTTTAACGTAATACAAAAGGACGCGGGAGGGGCATATGCCTCGTTGCGTCGCCGTTTAGTTGACTTTTATTACACAAATAGATCGCACGTCAGTTTTTTTAGCTATTCATCTAATTTTTGACAACATTCAAGGACAAATTGTGAGTTTTTAATTTATTTTATTATTAGTATTGCTTCTTTTATCTTATAGATTTATCATGAGAGTATCGTATAAAAAGGTTAATTTATGTAAATAAGCAATTGTATTTTGACAATTATATGAATACCTAAAAATGAGTATTTGGGGAAATGGGAGTCGAATGGCTCTCATTACCCACTTCATTTCTTGTAATTTTTTTTTTTTTTAGATGCCTCGAAAACGAGATAGGATTACGGAAAAATGTCAGTGGACTCTGGATGTACTACACCGTGCTATCAAGAGAGTCAATGAAGATGGAATATCTCTGCATAAGGCCGCCCAAGAGTTTAATATTCCATATAGTACTTTGCAAAAAAGGTATCGCAGAGCAGTACAAACCAATCCTCGTCTCGGAAGGAAACCAATATTTTCTCCAGCTCAAGAACAAATTTTGGCTGATCATCTCATTCACATGTCGAATCTTTTTTACGGCTTAGACTCCATGAAATTTAGAAAATTAGCATACGAGTGTGCTGAACAGTTGAAGTTATCTCATAATTTTAATAAGGAACTTAAATGTGCGGGACCAGACTGGCTTGAAGGATTTTTGAAAAGAAATACTAATATCAGTGTTCGCAAACCTGAGTCAACTAGTATTAACAGAATTGAGGGATTTAACAGAGAAGAAGTAGAATTATTTTACAAAAATCTTGAGGAACTAATGATAAAAAATAATTATGCAGCGCACCAAATATTTAATGTAGATGAGACGGGAGTATCTACAGTGCAGGAACCAGGAACAATTTTAGCAAAAACAGGTCAAAAACGAGTTGGTACTGTCACTTCTTGGGAGAGAGGAAAGACAGTCACTGTTGTTTGTGCAATGAGTGCTTCTGGCGTTTATGTGCCTCCAATGTTTATATATCCGAGACAACGTCATTCTCCTCTTTTAGAGAAAGATGGTCCTCCGGGTGCAATTTACGATTGTTCAAAAAATGGATGGACAAATGAAAATCTATTTGTTAAATGGTTGCAACATTTCAAAATGTTTGTAAAACCGAGTGAGGAGAACAAAATATTGCTTATTCTAGATAATCATAACAGCCACTCCACTTTAGAAGCATATGAATTTTGAAAAGCTAACTACATCAACATGTTGTCTATACCACCACACTCCTCGCATCGTTTACAGCCCCTAGATATAACATTTTTTGGTCCTCTAAAAAAAGCATACAATCGCGAATGTGAGCTATATCTCAAATCAAAAAATATGATTAAAATCACAATGTATGACATAGCTGGCTTGTTTCAAAAAGCATATAGTAAAGTGGCTTCATTGGATAAAGGCATAAGTGGTTTTCGCGCAACTGGTATAAATCCAATGAATTCTAATTTATTTAGCGATGATGACTATTATGTCATTAATACTGGTGTCACTAATATAGTGGATGACACTATTGATTCTCAACATGCCAAACAATGTAATCAGAGCTGTACAATATCAGAGCAGATCGAAGAAACTCGATCACATGAAACGTTGACTACTAAAAATACCTATAACAGTGATAAATATGTCAAAGAAATTGCTCCCTCTACTTCTAACATTAATTCTGTGCTGGCAATAATATCTCCAAAACCATCAACTTCTCAGGGGATTAGAAAACGAACACAGAAACAACATTCACAAATCATGACTGCTACACCAAAAAAAGCTGTATTAGAAGAAAAGAAGAAGAAACGTCTTATGAAAGAAAATAAAATACCAAAAGGGAGGGGTAAAAACACTAGAAAAAGAAAGACAAAAATTAACAAGGCAAAAGCAAAAAAAGTCCTATTTAAAGATGATACTAGCTCATCGGATTAATCACCTAATTACCCTAATATCTGCGACTATGCTTGTAAAGGTTCCTACATATGCATGCTTTGTTGTGAATCTGGAAAAAACGAATGAGTTGTGGTACAGATGTAGGGCCTGTGGTGAATATGCACATGCCCAATGTTCAGGTAGTGATTCTGCCAAAGATTATGTTTGTGATTTTTGTATGAGGCGATAATTGTTTTTAATTACATATAATTGACTGTGATTTTGCATGTTCCTAAAGATAATATAATTATATTTTGAATGAGAATAAGTTTAGTTTATAAACACATATAGAAAATATATAATTATACAATATTTTGTTACATATTGTTATTGTGGTTACCATTACCCCGGTGGATCTTATTGCCCCTATTTCTGGCTCTAATTACCCCGTACTCTTGGCAATGGGAGCCAATGTTACTTTTTTTTCAAATTAGAATAATTTTAATTTTATGTATGTTTTTTTAAATTTTTATATTCACAAGATAAGCCTGATTAGTTAAATTATAATTAAAACAAAGAATTAAAATAAAAAGTGATTTATACAAAAAGTTATTTAAGTTTTAGCTTAAGTGGCGCCAATTCCCCCGTGCTCCCCTATATGACGGAGGAACATATTTTTTTTCAAAAACCGAAACCTACAAACCTATTGTTAACCGAAGAAAGCTTTCAAATTGATTGTATTTCTTTATATTTTTTACTATGACTACGTAAATTCAAAACCAATTTGGAAAATTCCTTTTCCACCTAAAAATATATTCACAGATTAAGTCCCGTAGAAATTTTATCAAAATCAGTGGTTCAGTTTTCAAATCGCCATAACTGGTTTTGCTACAAATGATGCTCGTTTTTTTTTTTTTGCGGAACAATTATTTAATGGGTACTTTGCAACTGGTAAACATATTTAAATTAAACAACATTAATGGGGTTACCTTGAGAGTTTAAGATTAATTTTATGTACGCAGCGAGTCGTACCCGGATGATATAACAGGTAGGCAGTTATCAAACATCAATAAAATCTGTTATGCCGTCTTATCACGGAAGCGCATGTACTAAAAAAGAAGCCAGTCAAGTGCGAGTCGGACTCGCGCAACGAGGGTTCCGTACAAAATCATCAAGTTAATTTTTATTTTTGAGAAATAACTACAAAATAACAAACGACAGTTTTCGGATTTTTTCCTTTACTTGTGCTACAGGACATTGCTTCTTGCCAAATTTCATGAATCCAGGTCAACAGGAAGTACCCTATAGGTTTTGATTCCCTTTGCGAATGTCAAAATATGCTATATAAATGCTACATAAACGGCCGTATCGTTTGATTGCGTCGATTTAGAAGCTTGATTTTTTCACTGCTTCAAGAGATTGCAGGCCTGAGTATATGATATTAATTACAACTTGATATCTCCACGCGTTTCTAAGTCTTGATAGACGGACGGACAATGAAGTGATCCTATAAGGGTTCCGTTTTTGTCCTTTGGCGGTACGGAACCCTAAAAACAATAATTGTTTACGTTCACTGTCATTCAAATTATTTTCTATAGTAATATTATAAACTGTTTTTTTTTTATAACACGTAAAAATCGGGCATACATACTCTTTTTTTCTTGTGGGTGTCTTAAGTGGTGACTAAGGGAACCTAATAGTCGAAGGAAGAACAACAATGCCTCTCTTAAAACATTGCAAAAGGCTTTTTTTTTAATGGACGATAATGGAATGGTAACCCCGCCTGCGCTATCGGTATACACCGGCGGGGCACCAGTGAGGGATGATAGGTAACAATGAAAGCAGGTATGTAGCCCATCGTGACGAATTCAACTAGAATTAACCACGATAGTTTCTAGGAGGAACCGCGTGGAGGTCGACCTGATAGAGTGTATTGCTAGTAATGGAGAAATTGGACCCCCTTACAAAATTCCTTTCCCCCTTCACAAAAGTTATTAGTTATAAAGCTAACATTGTTATTAACTTATTGTTGTTACTGTATGTTTTAGTGCAATAAAGAATATATATATATATATATATATATATATATATATATATATATATATATATATATATATATATATATATATATATATATATATAAAAGTCTAATTGCGGTTGCTAATCCGCCAAGCGTGGCAACTACAGGCATGACTCCTCTTACAGGGGAGGCTTAAGTTCAGCAATGGACAGTTAACGGCTGAAATGAAATGAATGATAAATTAAAAAGTTAATAAAAATATTTGCATGTTTGTTATAGAGTGATTACTCTTGAATAACGAAATATGTGTACAGTGGTACCATCTTAGTCTTTATATTTAGAAAGTGAGTTTTAAACACATTTATATTGAGAAAGTGAGTTTGTTTGTTACCTTATAGCGCCTAAACGGCAGAACCAATCACTATGAAATTTGGTACATACGTACTATATAGGATGGTGAAAGATATAGGATACTTTTTATTTTAAATAAAGAACATATTCCGGTCACATAACACCATAGTCTTCAAAAATGGCAACACTTGAAGGGTATCTTGGGTGACACAGTATACTCTGTTATGTTCAAATATTATACATGTCGGGGTAAACGGATTGTTAATAAGATTTAACAACCCTACTGCTAGCAATTTATCCTGCGGTTCCCCCTAGAAACCAGTGGTTAATTCGTGTTCAATTGATCACTACGGGCCAACTGACCTGCCTTCATTCTCACCTGTCATCCCTCACTGGTACCCCGCCAGTGTATACTGATATCACAGGCGGGGTTACCATTCCATTTTCACCCATAAAAAAGATACTGTAGATGTCTAGAAATGACGGTTACCAGTTTCCATCAGGTGGGCCGTCAGCTTGTTTGACATTTTAAGCTGCATAAAAAAACGTGCATAACGAAGGCAAAAGAGTCACTCTTGATAATAGAGGGCGCCACCTCCACACGTTTAGTAGCTAATTAATTATACAGTATCTCAAAACGCATGTTTAGTTTTGACCTACTTACTGTTGCATCAATATTTAAAGGACTTTAATTGAAACACTGATAACTTTACAAATATACGGTTAAACTGCTTTATTATTTAGGTTATTAATTTGTATTTTAAGCTATTAACAGTTTTAAAGCTGGCGATTAACCAGTTATTGAGACATAACAACTTAGCACTCTGAAAAGGCAACGCGTAAGAGTATCAACACAATAAATAGATAAATAGATACTCTTTATTTTTTCCTCCAAAAGATTACAATAGTAGACTTATTATAAATATAAACAATTACAAGAAATAATCACAGTGAGAAAACAATGGGCGACCTTATCGCTAAGAGCAATCTCTATCAGTACAACTCGATTATGTCCATGGTACTGCTCACGTCTATAGGCGACGGTTTCCATCAGGTGGGCCGTCAGCTTATTTGCCATTCTAAATAGCATAAAAAAATATTGAGTTAACATCTAGAGTACGGGGAGGAGGGGTTGTTAGCAATGTGTTCTAACAGCCCTACTACTAGCATAAGGTCGACCTCCACGTGGTTCCCCAGGAAACCATCGTGAACAATTCTTGTTGAATTCGGCACGATGGACTAACTGACCTGCTTCATCCTCACCTATCATCCTTCACGGGTGCCTCGTCGGTGTATACCGATAGCGCGGGTGGGGTTACCATTCCATTATCATCCATTAAAAAAAAAAAACTAGGGCTTAGAACACGATACTATTTATTTGGAAGCCATTTCAAGTGCTTCAAACGAAATGCTACTCTATCTATGGTCTCTTTTCATAGTACTTAATGAAATAAAAATAAACGATTATTCGACCCGACCATAGGACTGTCAACTGATGTTCAATATCATTAAATTAAAAATACATTAAAAAAAAATCATAAAGTGTATTCCTGTGATAATTGTAACATAAGAAAATAAAAATCAATTGAATGTTTCGATGTATCACACTCACTATCTCAACAAAACTTGGTTACCTTTTATCAAATTCTATTTAAAGAGAATGCACCTATCACAGACTTATTCTATCCGGATGCCTTTGTATTCATTCGCCCAAACCACTTTACTACCTGCATCTGCAGGTTAAAAATCAAATTACGATAAAAAAAAAAGCATAGACAAGTCTACACTGGAACAAAGAAAGGAGAACATTTAGTACAAAATATTTCCTTTGTCTGTATGGATAAAGAAAAAAAATACCACGTGATAAGAAGGTACAAAGCACAAGCAACCTCCTTTTAAAACGAACTGTGTTGGTTCTTCCACTTGTAAGCTAAAGGAAACGTTATACCTACCTGCTTATTTGACAGCAGATTTCGAAATTCCTTGTTCTTTGTTTAACAGTTAAAAAAAAATCTATTTTAACGACCTTATTGTCATTCTTTTTTTCTTCGATTAGTGTTTTTCGCAAAATATTTAAAACATCCTCAAGTCCTCCAAAAATTTGAAAGGCTAACTACTTTTTTTTCTCTAAAATAGTGATGTACCTATAGTTAATGACATTCTATCGACAGACAGTTAATAGGTCATAAAAGAACGGTAAATATAGGTTAGATTTCTATTTGGTAATTAGAAATTAATTACTATAGGTAGATAGATAAGTGTGTCTACACGATCATATAAATATTATAACATCCAACAAACAGTCTAAATGTGATTTTATATAGACATTTGTATGTTTGCTAATCAATCACGCTTAAATGGCTGATAGGATTGGAATGACATTTGTTACATGGCCAGTCTATATCCTAAGTTAAAACATGCTTACTTTATATACTAATTCATGCGGAAACAGCCGCGGAAAATAGCTAGTTCTGGATAACGACAAAATACAATAATTTACCCGTATATATCTACCTACAACTTAGTACGGCAAACAAGCTGACGGCACCTGATGGAAAGTGGTTACCGTCGCCTATAGACATGAACAGTATTATTGGCACGCACATTGGTTCGCATTACACCATTTTATGAAAACATCAACCCATCTATGTACTAATAGATACAAAAAGCGGAAACAATGGATTTACAAAAGCTGAATAATGTATGTCGACAGCTATGTAATTAAAAAAAAAAAAAGAAAAACTATACTCAACACTAAATTAATAGGTATTTATTTTGCAATAAAAAAAAAAAAACAAATTCATTGCCGTTCAATCACCAGTAAGTATCGTAAATACCTAGTTTCCTGAAACGGTACCAAGTGACAAAGCGCATCACTACGTCCGTAGGGCTCATGAACCCACGGATAGACCTGTACAACCCGTTATTTCATAAAAAGTAAAAATGGCGAAACCTGTTTTTGGCCCATTGCTTGCCTTTCGAAAGCACAATCTCTAGATGTACCTACAGACATCAGCTGATTTTTATTTTCAAACTGTGCAAACAAATTACGTTTTACCACATAACACTAGTAATGTAACTGCTATTCAAATCACGAGTTTAAAACCGGTTCTTTTTTAGCGAAATCTTATAATAAATAACATAATAAGTAATTATCATTAATTAATATCTAGAGATTGAATCATAAATTTGGTGATACGTACAACCCTAATTTATAAAATCACTCGTGTAACCATAGACAAATTGTCTATACCAATGATGAGAAGGAATAGATGTACACGGATAAAAACGTATTCGTGGTGAAATCTAAACATATGGTAGCCACAGCACGACTAACAAAGAAAGACATACCTTAATTTAGTAGCGCAAACAGATTCCGTCCGACTCCACTTTATAACACCTACGCTATAAAATTACACTCCGATAATCGTGTCTTTTTCTCTTTAAATACATTATTACACTGTTTACTGCAAGTCCGGACACGCAAATGCTGTCCAAATGTGGTTTTTAATACTTTAAAATCCCGATTTCGCACAGGTCGAGCGAGCGTCATTCGCTCACTCCAGTCTCGTCCAAAACTAAATGCACAGAACTAAAATGTCTGTCAATTGTCAGCTGGGCAAAGTACGTTCTCATTGGTAAATCGATGCAAAGGGTACTAAAATTAGTTCTATCTCTTTCTAACATCAACTGGCGTCTCTTTCGTCAAAGGACGACCTTGATTGATAATTTAGTAGTTAAACGTAATATTTCTAAGATATTTTCATAGAAATTAACTTTATACTAGCTATATAATATTTTTATTTTAATTTATCCGTATAAAGTTATAGGATCTTTCCATTTTAGGTCATAAGAAAAATAAAGTGAGTATGTTTGTCAACATTGTCCATGTGTGTATTCGATAATACTTCGCCTTGATTGGGCGACGCACAGCTGTTTTTGACACGGTGTTCGATACTGTTTTACCACACTTTAAATACTATTAATACTAGTCAATTTAAGTCGTAACGCACTGTATTACGAGTCACAGTTATAGCAAAACAAAATTATACGCAACAGTTATGATTTTCCATCAAATAACACTAGATGGCGGTAAAATTACGACGTCAACAAATAGATTTGATATTAATACAGTTTTAAAAATTTTATTTTTAACAAATAAATACGATCTTATATTTTACTGATGTAGAAATTAAGAATACTTTTGATAGTTTTTGTAACATTATAAAAAGAGTAAGTTTTGACTAGGAAGTAGATCCAGCTTGAATTTGATTATAAATGGTTACTATGACAACGCCTTGTTTTGGTTTCCCTATAATCCAACTAAATTAAAAATCTGAACATATTGTGACGAAATGGAGGTCACAAGAACAAATTCAACTAGTCCAAGTAATACTAAACGTCATTTAATTAATAATTTTCATTGCCGCACAGCGTTTTACAATAAATATAAATAAAATGGATTCTTTAGATTTATTGGCAAGAGAGAATGAATTCAAGAAATTAAATAAGCAACTGGAGAAAAAAACCGAAAGTTTAATGAAGGAAATAGAACAAGTTATGGTGAGTTTAACAACTTTTTACTATACGACACTTTCACATTTTTACCTTATATTTCAAAGTATTTCTTTATAATTCGTGCTTAAAAGGAAAAAAGTTTGCTAATAACTAAAGGAAAAATAAGTCCTTATCTAGTCTTGTTAGTTGTTATTGTGATCACTTGTTAATCACCAACTGGGTTTTTCCATATCTGCTAAGAACCTACGACTATTTTTAATAAAATAATAAATATGAAAGTGCCTTTGTTTACTTGTTAGCACTTGGCACCTAACGGATTAACTTATTCATTATGAAATTTAGTATGCACATATTATATGGGAAGGAAAACACATAGGCTAATTCATTTTGACAAAATCATTAGAAAAAGCTGTAAATATAATGATATAAGATTTATTTGTAAAAAAAATTCAAAATTCAAAAATCATTTATTCATGTAGGACATTTTAACGTAATATATAACATAATAAGAACGTCAAATTTTTACATATAATTTTATTTTTTTCCCTACCGTCCAGTTCGGTATATAGATCCAATTGAGAAGAACTGGCAAGAAACTCAATTGCATTACTTTTTTTTTTAAAGCCAGTTTATTTACAATGTATATTTATATAGGTGTCTATGTCTAACATTAAATAAAAATTCAGTGCATGAACAACTATTGCCATGCACACTCGTCATTCAAGTAATCGTTTAGTGAGTAATAGGCTTTGCTCAGTAAATATGATTTAACAGATGTTTTGAATTTATTTAAGGGTAATTCCAACATATCCTTTGGTATCTTATTGTAAATTTTTATACCTATTCCCATAAAAGACCTATTAACTTTTTCTAAACGATACTTGGGGACAGCAAGTTTGTCTTTAAATCTAGTATTAATATTATGAATATTGCTGTTTTTTGGAAATAAGTCAAGATTTTTATGAACATATAGGATATTTGAATATATAAATTGAGAAGCAACGGTGAGAATATTTGCCTCTTTGAATTTCTCTCTTAATGAGTCACGACTCTTCATACAGTAGATCGCTCGAACGGCACGTTTTTGTAATATGAATATATTCTTAATATCTGCCGCTTTTCCCCATAGTAATATTCCATAAGAGAGTAAACTATGAAAATAACTAAAATAGACTAATCTAGCAGTATCAGTATCAGTGTACTGTCTAACTTTACGCACGGCAAAAGCTGCTGAACTTAGTTTCGCTGCAAGGCTTTGAATTTGTGCACCCCATTGTGTTTTATTATCTAGTGTGATTCCTAGAAAGACAGTAGATTCTATAAATTCGAGAGATTCGTCATTTAATTTAATATTGCAATTAGTATTGAAACTTTTAGATAGAGAGAAATTAACACATTTTGTTTTTTTAGCGTTTAACATAAGATTGTTAGTTGTAAACCAGTGCAGGAGACGCCGCAAAGCACTATTTACATCGTCATAATTATTAGTCATTCTATTAACTTTAAAAATCAATGAAGTATCGTCTGCAAACAATACTATGCCGCATCTATCCTGCATGGCATATGGGAGATCATTAATGTAAACTAGGAATAAAAATGGACCGAGAATAGATCCTTGAGGTACACCCATTTGCACAAGTGACCCGTCAGACGTAGCGTTGCTAATCTTCACTTTCTGTATTCTATCAGATAGATAAGATTTTATTAAATTTAAAGCATTGTCTTTGACGCCATAAAAAGCAAGTTTTTTTAGCAATGTATTATGATCAACGCAATCAAAAGCCTTAGAAAGGTCACAAAAAACACCTATCACATCCATTTTAGTTTCCCATGCAGCAAATACGTGTCTAAGCAACTCTGCACCTGCGTCTGTAGTTGAACGACCTTTGGAAAAACCGAATTGACTATTGTGGATTAAATTATTTAAATTGAAATAACTGACAAGTTGCATAAGGATTATTTTTTCAAAAATTTTACTGAGTGCTGGGAGTATGGATATAGGTCTATAATTTATTGGGTCACTCCTATCTCCAGATTTAAAAAGCGGTATGATTTTACTAATTTTCATTATGTTAGGAAATTTACCTTCATCTATACATTTATTGAAAATAAAAGCAAGAGAGGGCGCAATAATTTCCATTATACTATCCAGTATTTTAACAGATATACCCCATAGATCCTCTGTTTTTTTATTATTAAGCTGTTTGAATATTTTCATTATTTCTACTGATGATGTATGTCTAAAGTTAAATACAGCTGATGACTTGCTAACATTGTCTGTTAGTAAAGTTTCAGCAGCAGACGGGGAAGATTTTACAGCCTGTGTCGTAATTAATGGAATATTAGTAAAATAAGATTCGAATGTATGCGCGACCTCTGTGTCGGAATTTACCAATTTGTTATTAATATTTAAAGCTATTTTGCTATTTTGAAAATTAACTTTTCCAGTTTCGCTATTTATTACTTTCCAAGTGGCTTTTATTTTATCTTTAGATTTAGTTATTATTTTACCTAAATAGAGAGACTTAGCTGTATGACAAACCTTTTTAAATATTTTCGAATAAGATTTTACATGTTCATGAAATAAGGGATCGGATATATAGCTTCGTTTTTCGTAAAGTTCGTAAAGATTAGCCCTAGACTTATAAATACCAAACGTGGCCCAGTCACAAAACTTTGATTTTACACTAGTTGAAAATGTTTTTGTTTTAAATTCACTGCTAGCTTCATGTTCAATTAAATTAAAAATATGTTCACATACAATGTCCGGGTCATATTGAGGTACTATGACACTAGATATTTTATGTTCAATTTTATTTTTAAAACGTGCCAAATTCTTTTGTGTTATTTGTCTGCATGTAATTGTTTGAGTCCCTTTGGATCCCTTAGTTTCAATTATAACTTTTTGTCCGTAATGATCAGATCCAAGACAGTCGAAATTCATTTTCACCTTTACTTCACAATTACAAAAAACATTATCTATACAAGTGGCAGAATTTCCTGCGACCCTAGTGGGTTCTAAAAAAAGATTGTGCAAATTAAATGATTTAAATAAGTTAATCAATCTTAAGCTTATTGAGCATTCCGATAATAAATCAACATTAAAATCGCCACATACAAATAATGTTTTATTCCTCCGTGCGACTCGTCTCAATGCTTCCTCCATAGCCAGTTCAAAAGAATCAAAACAAGCCGATGGCGGACGATAAACGCAAATTATTATACAAGTAACTAATTCTACGCAAGATAGTTCAATTGTTTGCTCAATAGAAATATTTACAATGTCTTGACGGTTTTTATATTCTACATCATTTTTTAAAATAATAATTGACCCGCCATGAATGGCATTGTTCCTAGCAAAAAAACTAGCAATATTATAATGTACAAAAGGACAAATTATTTCATATTGTTTAAGCCAATGTTCTGTCAGACATAACACCCGTACATTGTTAGATTCTAAGAAAAGACTTAATTCTAATTCTTTGCTGGAGAAGCCACGAATATTTTGATGAATAATGACCATATCCTGTGGCTTAACCAATGTCGTAGATGTTAGTTTAAATTAACACATGTCACATTATTAGTATAATTACTAATATTACTAATTAAACCCGTTATACTACTTATAATGGGATCATAAATGTTATACGCTAGTAAACTAGCAATAGTCTTTTTTTGTTTTTTAGAAAGATAAAAATTACCTCCCGTCATATAATAATTTGTAACAAATTTGTTACTTTCAAAATAAAATATATCATTACAATGATATGTCATCGAATAAATTAAATTATTTATACTATAAATGAACTTATTCTGTTCATTAGTCAGGGATTGAGAGTAGGGAAATGCGCATAATAATATTTTACCTATACCAAACTCCACTATATTATATAATGATTTTATTAAATTAACTATATCAGATTTACGCATATGCAAACAATTCCCTAACGCTATTACTAGGGTTGTGTGAATATCATATTTTTCATTTACTATATTTTTTATAATCTTATATATACCTGATCCCGGAAAACAATTATTTATTACTTGTTGCGAGAGGCAGTTCGATAATAAACTACCTAAATCCTTGCCAAATTCATCTGAATAAACAATTGTTCTCCTGATGGCTTCATGTACAGTGCTGCATTTATTTACTTTTGTACTGTTTCGTGTGGGTAAACATGAAACGTCTGGCTCCGTGACGGATGAGATATCAATGTTCAACTGTTTTTGGTGGGACGGTTGGATATAGTTATCAGACTCTGGTGAATTACAGTGACATCTATCCGTAAGAGAAACAAACCGCTCCATGTTGTAGTTACCTAATTTTATTAAATTATCCAACTGATCAGAATATTCATGTATTTCATTCTTAGCTGATTCGTATTTCAAAGATAAATTGGACAACGAGTTCTCTAATAGTTTAATTTTTTGTGATAATTCATCTATTTCTAAATCTTTGTTATATATTTTTTCTTTACAATTATTTAATTCTATTGATAAGTCAATTTTTTGCTTCCTAGTAATAATTGATTTTAAACACTTTTTATGACTTTTCACTAAATTTTCTGATTTTCGAATAAATTTATTTAATTTTATATATTTTTTTAACTTCTTACTACTATTAATAGGTACTTTATTAGGACTATAGGAGCTTGGTGTATTTGTCAAATCTATGGTCACAAGGGGCAGAGCAGATGTTTGATCACTAGTAGTATTTAACATTTCTGTATACAGATCCATGGTCTCGTTATAACTACTCAACCGCCTGTGATCCAACAAAGATTTATTTTGTGATTGAACTTCCTCAAGGTGCCGCTCTAGATGAGTGATTTTCTGCAATGCTGACTCATATGTGTCTCTGCACAGATCATATTTATTTACAATTTCTTGAAGTTTTTCTTTTTCGATATGTAGAACTTCAAAGTCTGTACTGATCTTCACTAGGTCATTCTTCAGAGCCACATATTTATCAGACATCAACTTAATTTCAATCTCACTTTCATCTCGTTCCTGTAATAAGGCCTTATTTAATTCATTGGATTTTTTTAACTCTAAGAGTGTCACCTTGAGCTTAGCATCAAGATCACATGCTCTGCGGGACATCATTTTTAATTATTATGTTAAATATCTACGAAACAAGACAACAATGAATATTATTCAATAGAAGAAATACAGTGTTGAAAGTGCGCTATTTCCCTTCAATAAAATAATACAATAAATAATTTAATAATAAATAAATATGTAAAAACATAACTATAGTTTCTTAAGTTTACAATACTAATATTGATATTATGATTTTAAATGGGTACAATAGTTGTGGTTTTAGAACTGGACTCCCAAATAGGTTAATGTAATAACTTTTGTTAAGGAGCTACAGCCCCAAACTCCCTTTAGTAAGAGGAAAAGGGATTGTTAGTAATGGAGACTAAGAATCCCATTGCTAGCAATATGAGTATATTGCTAGCAATGGGATTCTTAGTCAACCTCCTTACGGTTCCCCCTATAAACTGTCATGGTTAATTCCTGATGAATTCATCGTGATGGGCTAACTGGCCTGTTTTCATTCTCATCGACCATCCTTCACTGGTGCTCCGGCAGTGTATCCCGTTAGCGCAGACGGGGTTACCATACCATTTTTACTCATAAAAATCCCTTTAGTATTATGAGGGAATTAATATTGATAGAAAGTAACTATAACAAGGTTGTATAAATAATTTGACAATTAAAAACATCTAAATTATTACTGTAAATGTGGTAAATATTTAAATTATATTATTTTCAGCAAAAACAAGATTTCTTCACTGAATTCTCTCATAATTTATCACTTAATACAAATGTTAATCATCCAAGGAAACATTGTTGTGATGTAAAAAAACAACCAGAAACCTCTAGCACTCCGGTAAAGCCTGCATTGAGAAAACAATATTCAAACTCAACTAAGAATACAAACTTACAATTTGATAGTGCCAAAATGGAAAATATGAAAGACAAATCTGATACAGACTGTACCCAGTCTACAAATAATTGTAAGAATTGTGCAAATAATTCTAAGAACTGTACAAATGATTGTAAGAACTGTACAAGTGATTGTAAGAAGTGTGCAAATAATTGCAAAAACTATACAAATGATTGTAAGTACAGTGCAAATAACTGTAAGAACTGTACAAATGATTGTAAGAACTGTACAAATAATTGTAATGATTATACAACGAATGACTTGGACTGTACATCTGACATGAGCTGTACACTTTATTGTACAAATCACACGAAAATAACTTGTGATTGTTATTCTGTGACTGAGTCTAAAAAACATGATGGTATGGAGTTTTTACATGCTTTTGTATCAGTTAATGTTCAAGAGAAGGTTTTGCCGCCGTCTTTTTTAAAAGGTAACTATAATAGAATTAAATACCAGAGGGAGACTTGATACAAAAGTCAACTTTATGTCATTTTTTTTAATGGTGAAAACAGAATGAACCCTGCCTGTGCTATCGGTATATGCTGGTGGTATACCATTGAAAGATGATAGATGAGGATCAAAACTGGTCAGTTGATCCATCATGACGAATTCCACAACTGTTAACCATGATGCTTTCCAGAGGGTACTATGTGGATGTCGACCTAATATTGTATATTACTGATCATGATGCTGTTAGACCAATTACTAACAATACCTTTCCTCCTATCTGTATGGGTACTTTTGTCCCACTCATGATTTCTGCTGTTCAACAGATGTGTTTGTTGTACTATATATATATATATATATATATATATATATATATATATATATATATATATATATATATATATATATATATATATATATATATATATATATATATATATATATATATATATATATATATATATATATATATATATATATATATATATATATATATTGTAGTTACAATATCTATATACATATTGGCTCAATAACGAATATATTAACTATCAGTTACTCGACAATCTTTCTTACTCAATCATCTTTACCAGAGGGAGACTTTGTACAAAAGTCGATTGCTTGGGTACCTCTGTCCCATTCGCGTTTCAACCGTAAAGCAGTTGTGTTTGCATGGCTGTGTTTCGGTTTGAAGGGTGGGATATGGCGTGAGTTTACTGGGTACAGAGGAATAACACCTGAGCCCTCAGGAATGGCAACGCATGGGGGGTATCATGGGCGAAACAGTATACTCTGTTATGTCCATGGTACTGCTCATGTCTATAGACGACGGTTACCACTTTCCATCAGGTGGGCCGTCAGCTTGTTTGCCATTCTAAGTTGTATAAAACAAAATCTAACCATTTGATTAAATGTTTTAATTAATCATTTGTATGTTTATTTCAGAAAAAGTAACCATTGAGTCTATCTGCAAATTCTTGTCATCCAAAATTAAACTAATGCAGGAACAAATGGATAAATTACAGGCTGCTTTAGATAAGAAGGTAATTTATTTTAATTATATATCTCATTAACCAAAATAAAATGGTAGACTTAACGCTAGTAGCATTCTCTACCAGTCACCCTTTGGGATGGGGGGAAAAGGGATTGTTAGTAATGGACACTGAGAATCCCATTGCTAGCAATATATCCAACCAGGTCGACCTCGTGGTTCTCCCTGGAAACTATCATGATTAATTCCTGATGAATTCATCACGATGGGCTAACTGACCTGTTTTCATTCTCATCTATCACCCTTCACTGGTGTCTCAGCCAGCGTATCCCGTTAGCACAGGCGGGGTTACCATACCATTTTCACCCATCAAAAAAAAACTATAGTTTCCAGGGCGGACCACACGGAGGTCGACCTGATAGGGCATTAGACTTAGTATAACACACTGTATACATTATAACCTAACTAACAGGATATATTGCTAGCAATGGAGTTGTTAAATCTCTATTAACAATCCCTTATCCCCCAAAAGTAAAGTGTTATCCCTCCGTAATGTATAATTTCACAGCCATATCCCACCCTTCAAACGAAAACAGAGATGCTTCACGACAGAAATACGAATTTTAAATGGTTTTTCTTTAAGGGCACTAAATATTTTTTTTATTGCTTCCAGGCAGCACAGTGTAAAGTCCACTTGACAATGCAAGCGGAGTTGGAGGGCGAGCGTATGTCGCTGCTGAACAACGCTCAGAACTGCCGGACGGCCGCTGACACTGCCAGAGCCAAGTGTACCGCTTTGGAGAACAAACTTAATGTATGTATGTGGTCCCGGCATAGAATAGGCTACCCCTTTTTCTGATTTTTTTTTTTACAACTTAGAATGGCAAACAAGCTTTTACTTGAATGACAAACGTGCATGGTGTTAGTCGATCATGCACGGGCTTTTAACGACCATGTAACTTTAGACATAGTACATTTAAATAAATACACATAATGTTGACAGAGATATAAAAGAGTGACTGTTGAGTCTCTCGCGGTCTCCTCTCAACAGATAACAACTTTACGAACCATGCGCATTCGTAAAGGAATGACGATTTAAAACGTGCTTGTAAACAAGTCTATTTGAAGAGAGATGACTTGAATTTAATTACTTAATTTTTAATTTCACTTCAGGAAAAGGACAGACTGTACAAAGAACAGAGAAGCGAAGCAGACAAACTACTATCGGAAGTGAAGCGATTGCGAAGCAAGAATGTTAACATCGAAGCGAAGTGTTCCTCGCAGGAAGAGGCAATTGAAAATCTGAAACAACAGTTGGAAATTGTGAAACGGGGTGAAAAGGTGACAAAATAAATAGATAAATATATATTCTCTACTTGATCCTGTGGTCCCGGCATAGAATAGGCCATCCCTTCCTTTCCCGTGGGTGTCGTAAGAACCGACTAAGGGACGGCGAGGGATGGGCAAACAGCGTCCCTCTTGAAACGTCTCTAAAGCCAGACTGCGGTTGCCAACGCCTGCCAAGCGTGACAACTACAGGCAGAACTCACCTTATGGTGGAGGCCTATATTAAGCAGTGGACGGTTATTTTTTTTAGTTGACAACCGTGAAGAAACCTTAATATACCCTTTTTGAAGAACCCCATGCTGTAGTCTGTAGGGAAAACCTCGGCAGGGAGCTCATTCCACAGCCTGAGCGTTCGCGGGGGAACATTCCTTCGAAACTGCACTGTACGTGACCGTTTAAGTTCAAGTGTGTGAGGATGAACTCCCTGTCGATGGCGAGCACTGCGATGATAGAAAGTGGCTGTGGACATCATATATACTTATAATAAATCTGTAGAGAGGTCAATTCTGTACATTAAATATATTTCCAAAATAACTATCAGGCGGTGATTAGTGATCGATACTGATGCCAAAAAAATGTAATCAGTAAAATTTTTGTCTCTCTGTCTGTATGTTCGTTATAGAAACAAAAACTACTCGACGGATTTTAACGAATCTCGGTACAATTATTCTTCATACTCCTGGGCAGGTTATAGTATACTTTTCATCACGCTACGGTCAATAGGAGCAGAGCAGTGAAGGGAAATGTTAAAAATGTCCATCCGTGCGACGCCGGGACGGGCCGCTAGTCTCAAATAATTCCTCAGTACACAATCCGTTATACAAGCGGTAGAACACACAGAGGGAAGCAAAATCTTGTCTTAGACTTAGTTCTAGTTAAAAAACTTTACTATCGGTCCATTTTTTGTGAAAACAAATAAAAACTGGACCGCCAGATGGCGGTAGGGAGGAAAAGAACGTTTACTAAAACAGTATATATATGTAAATGGTTGTTTTGTTCTAGGAATTTCGCGATTCGTCCCGTACTTTGTCCGCATCGCACCAAAACGCCATCTGTCGGCTCGAGGAGCGAGTTAAAACGCTAACAGCATGCATAGACAAACAAGCCGCGCTGATAGACAATCTGCGTCGCCAAAATGCCATCTTGATGACAGAGGGCGCTGTGAAAGCTTTAGAGAGGGAATATTGTAATTTTCTAACTCAAGATTAGTCTACCAGAGGGAGACTTTGGACTGTATTTTTTTGCTCTAGTATAGCCCTGGTTTTCCTATGAATAAATAAATAAATAAATAGTCGTTTGCTTGGATACCTCTGTCCCACTAGTGTTTCTGCTGGGAAGTAGCTTTTTTTAATGGATGATAATGGAATGCTAACCCCGCCTGCGCTATCGGTATACACCGGCGGGGCACCAGTGTGGGATGATAGGTGAGGATGAAAAGGCAGGTCAGTTAGCCCATCGTGACGAATTCAAAAATAAATCAATTACAATCGCGTGGAGGTCGACCTGATAGGGTATATTGCTGGTAATGGAATTGCTCATCTGGAAGAGAGTGCATGAATTAGTTGCACCGACAAGAGGAAACTGTTAAATGAAGAAGAAGAGCTAATATAATAAAGAGGGGGGGAGGGATTGTTAGTAATGGGGGGGGGGGGTTAATTCCTATTGCTATCAATATATGCTATCGGGTCGACCTCCACGCGGTTCCCCCTGGAAACTATCGTGACTATTTTTTTTTTACAACACAGGGGGCAAACGAGCATGCGTCTCACCTGATGGTAAGTGACTACCGCCGCCCATGGTCACCCACAACACCTACTAATTTATCGTTGAATTCGTCACGCTGGGCTAACTGACCTGTTTCATCCTCACCTATCATCCTTCACTGGTGCCCCGCCAGCGTATACCGATAGCGCAGGCGGGGTTACCATTCCATTATCATCCATTAAAAAAAATATAATAAATAAGACTAGTCATGTGAATAAAGAGAATTCTTTTTTTAATATGTTTTTATTTAACAAAATGACGAAACCACCGGAGGGAGACTTTGTACAAAAGTCGATTGCTTGGGTGCCTCTGTCTCATTCGCGTTTCAACCGTGAAGCAGTTGTGTTTGCATGGCTGTGTTTCGGTTTGAAGGGTGGGATATGGCGTGAATTTACTGGGTACAGAGGAATAACATCTGAGTTCTCAGGAATGGCAACGCATGGGGGGTATCATGGGCAAAACAGTATACTGTGTTATGTCCATGGTACTTGCTCATGTGTATAGGCGACGGTTACCATTTTCCATCAGTTAAGCCGTCAGCTTGGTTGTCATTCTAAGTCGTATAAGAAATAAAACAAATACTGTTAATATTATATATGGTTATATTTTTTATTTTTATTAAAAAAATATTCAGTATCATCGTATCAGCCTTTAATTGTCCACTGCTGGACACAAGGCTCCCCCTTGGGGAAGCAGTGAGGAGGGATTTCCAGTAGGTACCTCTCTTGGCATGCGGATAAACAACCGAAGTCAGGCTTTAGAGATGTTTTAATAGGGACGCCGCTGCCCATCGCTCGACCATTAAGTGACCTTCCACCTCTTCCTTTCCACAGTCCTCGCCCATTAAATTCCCTTAGTTTCCTCTTACGACACCCATAGGTGGCTTATTCTATGCCGGAAGTGCATGAACACAAAAATAAATATTATTGTAACATCTGAAATTACCTAAAATTTATTTACCCAAATAATACCGACTTCAAGGGGGGGGGGGAAGGGATTGTTAGTAATGGGGTCTAATAGCCCCATTGCTAGCAATGGACTCTCTCAGGTCAGTCTCTACGCAGTTCCCCGTAAAAACCATCATGGTTGTCGAATTCATCATGGTGAGCCAACTGATCTGCTTTCGTCCTCACCTATTATCTCTCACTGGTTCCACGCCCGCGCTAACAATATATATTTTTTTTTTTTACAACACAGGGGGCAAACGAGCATGCGGCTCATGGTAAGTGACTACCGCCGCCTGTGATCACCCACAACACCAGCGGCATTGCAGGTGTGCTGCCGGCCTATATATATGCTGTAGAGGTAGCAGTGAGGGATAATAGGCGACAATGTAAGGGCAGGGAGAACCGCGTAGATGTCGACCTGACAGGGTATATTGCTACCAAATAAGCCTCTAATCCCCATTATTAATAATCCCATTCATACTATAGTACCTTATTGTGGTTTAATGGCATCACAGTGTATCCTTTGAAGTCAATAGTTCTTATTCATGTCTATAAACGACGAGCTTGCTAGCATTAGGGCTTTAAGTCTTTATTACCCTTAAAAAAAACCTACGCTATCAGTGCACACTGGCGGGACACCATTCAAGGAAAATAGGTGAGGATGAGAACAGGTCAGTTGGCCCATCATCAAAACGAATCCATATTAAGCACTTTGCTTTCCAGACGAGACCGCGTGTAGTTCGACCCGAGATAGTACAATCCCTTCCTCTCATAATGGATACAATCATATCGAAGTTGTTTATCATACTGTAGATTGTAAGGTGACACAGTAAGTTACACTTGCTTATCAGTGTTTCTTCGAATCTGGTCAAGAGTAATATGTCAACATTGTCGTTTGTTTATTGGGATTTTCTTGGTAATTACTAGGTAGTCCATGTTTTGTTGAAATTAATACAGGAACATTCTTTAAATGGATTTATAATTTAAAAAAAAATGTAAATGTTTTTGAAATTTAATTTATGAAATAATTCATCGTGAAAAAATTGTAAATTAATTTATTATTATTAATTATTTAGTTAATAGTTAATAATAATAAACTCTTTATTGCGCACAGTAGAGATGTATACAAGGAGTATTTATACAGAATGTGCATATACAAAAGGCGGCCCTGTCGCTAAAAGCAATCTCTTACAGACAACTTGGTTAATTAAATATTATATTTTTTTTATACATCTTAGAATGGCAAACAAGCTGACGACCCATCTGATGGAAAGTGGTCACCGTCGCCTATAGCAGTACCATGGACATAACAGAGTATACTGTTTCGCCCATGATACTCCCCATGCGTTTCCATTCCCGAGAACTCAGATATTGTTCCTCTGTACTCTGTAAATTCACCACCATATCCCACCCTTCAAACCGAAACACAGCCATGCAAACACAACTGCTTCACGGTAGAAATACGAATGGGACAGAGTTGTCCAAGCAAACTACTTTTGTACAAACTCTCCCTCTGTTAAAAAAGTCTTAATAAAGGCAATAAATGCTTTAAGTTTACTATTGTAATCTTATGGGGGAAACAATAAAAAGTAGATTCTATAATACAGATACCTACTTATCATCATCATCTTCCTACCCTTATCCCAATCATTTGTAGTCGGCGTAATATGATTTTAACCATATTACAAAAAGATTTGGTTTTTAGTTTTACGACCGGCCGCCTGTCTGACGTCAACCCTCTTTGGGTTACAACAAATTGTTTAACAGATACCTACTTATCATTAAAAAGAAAAAATCTATCCGTAACTCATTCGTATCTTTTAAAATATCAATCAAAACCATATTTATTCTCGACTGACTTAGACGACATCTTAAACACAAACAAGCCGCATGACTCACAACAAGGAAAATCCTCGAATAATCACAATATATGGTCAAACTGGCGCAGTAGTGACCTCATTAGCATGCCGACCTCGCATTATCAAAAGACACTGTGAATTAAACGCTCGTGTTCCAAAATTACAACGATGAAGTTAACAACGTTATTTTTAACAATATCCACGGTGCTGTGCTGCGTGTACGCATCGAATTTCGTCGTTGGAAATGTGGCTAACAGAGTGGTACTAGTCAATCATACACTGATAGAGTACAACGCGATACCTTTCATGAAAAGGGTCAAATATTACTTCTACAGTTTGCCTGGTATTAGGAAAATTGAGGTATGTATTTTTACAATCAATTTTATTAGCATTTCAGTCATTACCCGTCCATTGCTAAACGTAGGCGTCTCCCATAGACCGCCAAAAAGGATCGGTCCTGAGCCACCTGCATTCAATGATTCCCTGCAACGCGTTTGAGGTTGCCATTATCCATATATTTATGACTACATAGTATAAAACAAAGTCGCTGTCGCTGTCTGTCCGTCCCTATGTATGCATAAATCTTTAAATCTGATTATTTTAGAGATTTCTAATGTGATGTGATGTAATGTACACCCGTGCAAAGCCGGGGCGGATCGCTAGTATATTAATAATTTCTTAGTGATACTTGCGTTGAAATAGATTGTTTATTATTATATAAACCATTAACTGTCCACTGTTGGGGGGAAAGGGATTGTTAGCAATGGAGTTTGACAGCCCCATTGCTAACAATATGCCCTATCAGGTTCACCTCCACGTGGTTCCCCCTGGAAACCATCGTGAACAATTCTTGTTAAATTCGTTACAATGTGCTAACTGACCGGCTTCATCCTCACCTATCATCCGTCACTGGTGCCCCGCCGGTGTATACCGATAGCACGGGTGGGGTTACCATTCCATTATCATCCATTAAAAAAAACTGTCCACTGCTGAACATAGGTCTCCCCTTTGGGGAGAGTTTTGCCAGTAGTTGCCTCGCTTGGCAGACGGTTTAACAACCGGAGTTAGGTTTTGATGTTTTAAGAGAGACGCTGCTGCCAGTTCCTTGACCATGGAGTTCCCTTAGTCGCTTACGACACACTTTGTACAAAAGTCGATTGCTTGGGTACCTCTGTCCCAGAGGAGTTGTGTTTGCATAAGGGTGGGATATGGCGTGAATTTACAGGGTACAGAGGAATAACACCTGAGTACTCAGGAATGGCAACGCATGGGGGGTATCATGGGCGAAACAGTATACTCTGTTATATCTATGCTACTGCTCATGTCTCTAGGCGATGGTTACCACTTTCCATCAGGTGGGCCGTCAGCTTGTTTGCCATTCTACATAAAAAAAAATGAAAGGGTAAACCATTCACATGATTCTGTCAACGCCTGTCTCCCATTGCGAATGTCCAAATATGCAATGGAACGCCAAATTTGATTCGATTCAAACAAACCTCTGAATTCGATAAAATTTATTGAAATTCATTAATCTTGTCCATAACCAACTGTAAATATATCGTCAGATTTCACAAAGAGTTTTCCAAATCGGTTCTTCAGCACGTCGCCTATTTGGTCGACATACGTCCGTCTAAATTGCGAACCCCTACCGACATCTCCATTCATTCTTGCTCGATAAATCTCTTTCGTAATTCTTCTTTCATCCATCCTCTCCAAATGACCAAACCAACGCAACATTCCTTTTTCAATTTTTGTCACTACATCGTCTTTCAGTTCACACTTCTCTCTAATCACACTGTTTCTTACTCTATCTTTTAAAGTAATATACCCAACCAGATCGACCTCCACGCGGTTCTCCCTGGAAACTATCATGGTTAATTCCTGATGAATTCATCACGATGGGCTAACTGGCCTGTCATTTCATCCTCACCTATCATCCCTCTCTGGTGCCCCGCCAGCGTATACCGTTAGCGCAGGCGGGGTTACTATACCATTATCATCCATTAAAAAAAATCATCAATAATACATTTTTATTCAGTAAATATTTTTAATCGTGTTTCTTATTCGGCAGCCCACCTAGATTTAATGTACATTCCCATAAAAGATCTATTAACTAACTTTATTTCAATGACTATTGTATTTTTCCACAATGTTACTAGATTTTTTTTTTATTATACTTATAATAGCAAACAAGCTGACGGCTCACCTGATGGAAAGTGGTAATTGTCGCCTATAGACATGAGCAGTATCATGGACATAACAGAGTGTACTGTTTCGCCCATGATACCCCCCATGCGTTGTCATTCCTGAGGACTCAGGTGTTATTCCTCTGTACCCAGTAAATTCACACCACTTTTTTTTTTGATGGGTGAAAATGGTATGGTAATCCCGCCTGCGCTAACGGGATACGCTGGCGGAGCACCAGTGAAGGGTGATAGGTGAGAATGAAAACAGACCAGTTAGCCCATCATGATGAATTCGTCAGGAATTAATCATGATAGTTTCCAGGTAGAACCGCGAGGAGGTCAATCTGGCTGATGGTAAGTGGTTAACGTAGCCTATGAACGCCTGCAATACCTGAGGTATTATGTGCGCGTTGCCGACCCTGAAAAAACCTCTTTATCCCCCTTTTGAAGAACCCCGTGCTGTAGTCTCTTGGGAAAACCTCGGCAGGGAGCACATTCCATAACCTGAGTGTTCGTGGGAGGAAACATCTCTGAAACCGCATTATACGCGACCATTGAGGCTGTAGGATATGAGGATGAACTCTCTATCGATGGCGAGCCGTACGATGGTAGAAAGTGGAAAATGTTGTAATAATGGGGCAATAAAGTGTTAAATAAATAAATTTTTATTTTATTTACTCTATGAACTTGTTATTTATTGATATGTCATCTATAATAAAAAATGAATCGCCGAATGTGTTGCTAAGCGCATAACTCGAGAACAATTGAACCATTTTTGCTAATTTTTTTTCTAAGAATATTTCTTGAAGTACCTACAAAGACGGTTCTTAAGGAAGGAAAAATAAAAAAAAAATTGCCTTGAAAGTGTCCTAAAAACAACACTTTTCTATACTTCCATACGAACGATTCGTTTTAATACTTAAAAGTCAATTTGTACTTTAATACCGTAACGTAAAGTTCAATGTCAGTGGAAAGGTTCCGGGAAGACAAAACAATTGACACGTTAGTATCGTAGAAATATTGATGTCAGTATTAATACGATGGTAACATTAGTCAAACACAAATTGTCTATGGTAAAATGTCACTACCTGGCGTCCCGAATAGCAAAATAAGTATAATGTTAAGGTGTTAAGGTTCATTTTTGAATATCAATTTAAGGTGCAAGAAAACACACGTCTTTACTGAAATGGATATATTTTCAACTAACTTCAATTTCATAACATTGTTGCTTTTAAACCTACGACGAGACATTAGTAATAGAATGGCATGAAGTTAACCAGTGTTTGTTTCTACTGTTGACATTATAAGTAAATTACGTTAACATATAAAAAAAAAATTAAAGAATCTACTGTAAGGCGGTACGAAGTTTGCCGGGTCGGCTAGTTTTTAACACAGTAAAAGATCCTTATTCACGCTTCCTTTATTCGCCTTTTCACTATTCGCGGATTAAAAAATTGCGACCCAATTTCTATATTCGCGGCTAAAGATTTCTATATTCGCGGCTAAATATTTCTATATTCGCGGTTCAAGGTTTCTATATTCGCGGCTCAAGATCTCTATATTCGCGGTTCAAGGTTTTTATATTTGCGGCTGAAGATTTCTATATTCGCTGTTCAAGGTTTCTATATTCGCGGCTAAATATTTCTATATTCGCGGCTAAATATTTCTATATTCGCGGCTAAATATTTCTATATTCGCGGTTCAAGGTTTCTATATTCGCGGCTAAATATTTCTATATTCGCGGTTCAAGGTTTCTATATTCGCGGTTCAAGATTTCTATATTCGCGGCTAAATATTTATATTCGCGGCAAAATATTTCTATATTCGCGGTTCAAGATTTCTATATTCGCGGTTCAAGATTTCTATATTCGCGGCTAAATATTTCTATATTCGCGGTTCAAGGTTTCTATATTCGCGGTTCAAGGTTTCTATATTCGCGGTTCAAGGTTTCTATATTCGCGGTTCAAGGTTTCTATATTCGCGGCTCAAGATTTCTATATTCGCGGCAAAATATTTCTATATTCGCGGTTCAAGATTTCTATATTCGCGGCTAAATATTTCTATATTCGCGGTTCAAGGTTTCTATATTCGCGGTTAAAAAGTTTCTATATTCGCGGTTAAAAAGTTTCTATATTCGCGGCTAAAGATTTCTATATTCGTGGCTCAAGATATTCGCGGATCTAATCGGTATATATTATTCAAAAAGATTAGGTATCCTTTGTAAATGCATTGGCAAATGGACTAATAAAAATGTAAAACAGATTTTATCACAACTACGCGTAAAGTACGTTGTCGAATGCTAACGCCGCTGTATAAGTGGTTCGGCTTTCTATATTCACGGTATCTATATTCGCGATATATTTACAGAACGTATGCACCGCGAGTAAAGAGCTTTTACTGTAATTGTGTATGCAATTCAACAGTATTTTTGTTATGAATAAATGTTTACTTCATCAAATCAGTCGTCTGATTAGTAGACACTTGGTTGTTTTATTATTTCCTTATTATAATTATATCAACCGTTAACTGTCCACTGCTGGACATAAGTCTGCGCCATAAATCAGGTTTTGCTAGTAGTTGCCACGCTTAGCAGGCAGGTTAGTAACCGCAGTTTTTTTTAATGGATGATAATGGAATGGTAACCCCACCCACGCTCTCGGTATACACCGGCGGGGCACCAGTGAAGAATGATAGGTGAAGATGAAGCGGGTCAGTTAGCCCATCGTGACGAATTCAACGAGAATTGTTCACGATGGTTTCCAGGGGGAACCACAAGATCGACCTAATATTGCTAGCAATGGGACTGTCAAACTCCATTATTAACAATCCCTTTCCCCCCAATAGTAACCGCAGTTAGGTTTTAGTGGTGTTTTAAGAAGGAAACTTCTGCCAATTCCTCGACCAATAAGTTCCCTTAGTCGCCTCTTACGCCACATAAAGGAAAGGAAAAGGTGGTACATTCTACGCTGTAATCTTACGTTGATACTAACATTAACTGTAAATTAATTGTAAGAAATTATTGAAATAGGTAAATTTATTGTTGTAACATATATACAGACAAATACATCCAAATCGTCAGCGTATATCAATAACGCAGGCGGAATTACCATTACATTTTCATTAAAAAAAAAGGTGCCTCATTGCTTATCATTAAAATAAAAAGAAACTAAATTTTGTCTATGGTTTTTCGTCCACAGGGCATTCAAGCGCTGGACACGCTGCACAGTAAAGCGAGCATCAACATTACAGCCGGCGGTGTGGGACATTCGTTCGTCAATATGCGTATGAAGAGCGAGAGGGGTCGCGGTTTAAGTTACGACATCGGCATATATGTTGCACAAGACGAATTTTATCGTACTTAGAAAAAAAAATGAGACAAAGAACATAACATTTACAAGTGAAATCGAAAATTTAATAGTCTATTTAAAAATAATAATAATTAATAATTCAGCTACAAAATATATAATTAATGACAAGTTTATACATTAAAATAATAATACAGTGGTAGCAGCTGAAACGGTCCCCACTCAGCTTAAGCTGCAGCGTGGTGCTGCAGCGCTGATTTCCAGTGCGGCCACCATTCGATAAGTAGCATTCGAGGAACAGGACTAAATCCTAAGAACAAGGAATTACATAGAGGGAATGATAAAATAAAAACTGTAAGTCATACGGTTGTCTCCTTTCTTCTTATGCAAATATAATTAGTAAAAAGAGGACGAAAGATACACCATCAGTTGCTATTTTTCTCAATTCGTAGCAGGCAGCCAAAAATAGCAATTGATGGTGCACTAAAGTGATGGTGGACCCTATAAATGATATCAATCATTATATATAAATATAATAATATATTATTTATTGTATAAATTATAGGATACAACAAGGTATAATGAAAATAAATAGAATGATTATGTATGATCATGTTATGTAAATAATTGTATAAAAAAAAAATAGTGTACTAAAGTGTAAAATAAATAAATAAATAAAAAACCAATAAGAATATAGTTAATATTTTTTTATGATATTAAAAATTATAAATATATTAATAAAATAAATTCATAAGCTATTTTTTTTATACAACTTAAAATGGCAAACAAGCTTACGGCCCACCTGATGGAAAGTGGTAACCGTCGTCCATAGACGTGAGCAGTACCATGGACATAACAGAGTATACTGTTTCGCCCATGATACCCCCCATGCCATTCCTGAGGACTCAGGTGTTATTCCTCTGTACCCTGTAAATTCACGCCATATCCCACCCTTCAAACCGAAACACAACCATGCAAACTCAGCTGCTTCACGGTTGAAACACGAATGGGACAGAGGTACCCAAGCAATCGACTTTTGTACAAAAAGTCCCTCTGGTAAAGTATAATTTCCAAAAATATCAATCAAAGAAGCCATTGTTAAATCAATCATTTATTTTTATAAACATAGGTATTTAGTTACATGATATTATATATAAAAAATAATTAATTATTGTGTTCTGAGGAATTGTTCGGATTGATCGGACCTGCTGCTGATTTCCACCACCGTACAACCCGCCATAAACTAAAGTTTCATCCCAACCATCTGGACTAGTGGCGGTCCTCCACCGTGCGTTTTTCAAGGCACTTTCTTCCACGCACAACCATTCTTTGGAATCAACTTCCAGCAGCAGTATTTCCGAACCGATACGACAACATAACCTTTAAGAAAAGAGTATATTCCTTTTTAAAAGGCCGGCAGCACACCTGCAATGCCGCTGGTGTTGTGTGTGATCATAGGCGGCGGTAGTCACTTACCATCAGGTGAGCCACATGCTCGTTTGCCCCCTGTGTTGTAAAAAAAAATGTATTCAATATGATGTCCACGGCCACTTTCTACCATCATTCAGCTCGCCATCGACAGGGAGTTCGACCTGATGGAGTGTACTACCAGCAATTCTAAATAAAATCATTTTTCTTCAAATAGACTTGTTTACAAGCACTTTTAAATCGTAATTTTTTTAAAGTACCATGGACATAACAGAGTATACCTTTTCGCCCATGATACCCCCATGCGTTGCCATTCCTGAGTACTCAGGTGTGATATCAGATCGGTATCCATATTACCAATGCCTAATTTTTGTAGGCGACGGTTACCACTTTCCATCAGACGGGTCGTTTGCTTGTTTGCATAAAGAAATTCACCTTGTCAAATTAGTCGATAATTTATGTTTTAAAATTATGTTATTTTGTATACTTTTACATAAAGTTGTTACATTTAGTCGTTTCTTCTTATTAACCTGTTTCTTACTAGTCTTTATTCCCCGTATGGTCCCGGCATAGAATAGGCCACCCCTTCCTTTCCCGTGGGAGTCGGAAGAGGCGACTAAGGGAGCGCGTAGCACCGTCCCTCTTAAAACAGTACCAAACCGTAACTGCAGTTGCCAATCTGGCTGCCAAGCGTGGCAACTACTGGCAGAACCCCCCAAGGGGGTTATGTCCAGCAGTGGACAGTTAAAGGCTGGTATGATGAGATTTTATTATTATTCTTTAGCGCGTCGAAGCCTGCGCTTCGCCCTATAGCACTTTATCATGTTTGTATTGTCTAATGATAAAAAAGCTGTAAACGTTGTTCGTATGAAAGTTCTATAGTAGTTAGGTATATTTAGTATCAGCATTGTACCCGTACGAAGCCGGAACGGGTCGCTAGTTACAATATATAATATGTTATGGTCGAATTTCGACCATTGTGCGACCACTAGTTTAAATTATTAGACAAATGAAGTTCATTATTATAATATATATATATTTGTATATACTTCGCAGCGTATCTGTTGAACATTGACAGCTACACTGGCGAGCTGTCTTCAAAGTTTTTTAATGAATAATAATTATACATTTAATTACAGTATTAGGTCTGGTGTAGCGTCGCGCCGCGTGATGTCGTCTGTCATTAATCAAGTAAACTCAAATTATGGGTATATAAATAAACTGTAAAGTTTATTTTGAGTTATTCAATGTTCGTATGTTCGAATTTGAAGTTATGTTGCATTCTGAAATACTTGTATTTTTGTATTTTGGTCATTCGGAGAGGATGGACGAAAGAAGAATTACGAAAGAGATTTATCGAGCAAGAATGAATGGAGATGTCCGTAGGGATCGCCCTAGACGGACGTGTGTTAACCAAACAGGCGACGTGCTGAAGAACGGCCAAATTAAAAGTACCCGTAACCGGCGACCGTGTATGAAAAGATTGATGAATGTGGAGGAAGCGACGTTTGTTTGAATCGAAGCATTTGGCGTTCTATTGTTTCTGCCTACCCTAATGGGAGACAGACGTGACAGATATGTTGTATTTTACCAGAGGGAGACTTTGTACAAAAGTCGTTTGCTTGGCCACCTCTGTCACATTCGTGTTTCTACCGTGAAGCAATTGTGTTTTCATGGCTGTATTTCGGCTTGAAGGGATATGGCAGTGAATTTACAGGGTACAGAGGTATAACACCTGAGCCCTCGTGAATCGTGGGCGAAACAGTATATTCTGTTATGTCCATGTTCGTGCTTAGTCGCTTCTCACCACAACCACGGAAAAGGAAATATTCATTCTATACTGTGACCACACGGCGAGCAAATACACACATAAGTATGAGTATATTTATATCGAAAAAGGCAGATCCTAAATGCAAATTTAGAAAACCGACATATACTAGAAAATTATAATTCAATTCATCATCGTCATCGTCATATCAGCTCTTACCCGTCCACTGCTGATCGTAAGCCTCCCCCTCCTATTTTTTAACATCTCTGTAAAATATTGACGCCCATTAATTCTTCTCTCTCTCCGCGTCTACGAAAAGTAGATAAAGTTTTGTTTGAGAAATCAGTTCAGGGTACGATAGGACTGATATACCTGAAGAAGGTAAAAGCCCTTAAAATAATAATAATAAAAAAAAGCCTCCCCCTTAGGAAGGTTTTTTTTATGGGTGTAAATGGTATGGTAACCCCCTGCGCTAACGGGATACGCTGGCGGAGCACCAGTGAAGGGTGATAGATGAGAATGAGAACAGGCCAGTTAGCCCATCATGATGAATTCATCAGGAATTAACCATGATAGTTTCCAGGGGGAACCGCGAGGAGGTCAACCTGGTTGGGTATATTGCTAGCAATGGGATTCTCAGTCTACATTACTAACAATCCCTTCCCACCCCCCTAGGGGGGTTTGCCAGTAGTTGCCACGCTTGGCAGGCGGATTGTCAACCGCAGTCAAGGTTTAGAGATGTATTAAGAGAGACGCTGCTGGCCATCCCTCGCCGTCCCTTAGTCGTCTTTTACGACACCCACGGGAAAGGAAGGGGTGGCTTATTCTATGCCGGGACCACACGGTCGATATAATTCAATTACTTACAACTAATTAATAATGCTAGCATCTTACCTCCTCCCGAGTGACAATGGCTATAAAAATATTGAAAATTAATTTTTTTTTGCCAGTGCAATGGTGTTTTAGAATTAGTGGGGCAAAATTTACATGTTTTCTAGACCATTGTTCGTGTGTGAATCAACAATTTGCACAAACAGGTACTATATGCGTAGTTTACGCAAATAAAACAACGGAAAGGAATTAGCAGTGAGAATTTAATGAACTACTCCATTGTACGGCATTTGATTTGCGCCCCTTTTCGCCCTGAATGGGAGTTTAAATGTTTAAGCACGTCATACTTTATTTTAATCTTAAACTTAACCTAACCATATGACGGGACAGATTGGTAGTAATGCAGACTGTCAGTCCCATTGCTAGCAATATATCCTGGCAGATCGACTTCCAGGGGGGAAAGGGATTGTTAGTAATGAAGACTGAGAATCCCATTCCTAGCAATATACCCAACCAGGTCGACCTCCTCGCGGTTCTCCCTGGAAACTATCATGGTTAATTCCTGATGAATTCATCATGATGGGCTAACTGGCCTGTTTTCATTCTCATCTATCACCCTTCACTGGTGATCCGTCTGCGTATCCCGTTAGCGCAGACGGGGTTACCATATCATTTACACCCATCAAAAAAAAAGATCGACTTCCACGCGGTTCCTATGGAAACCATCGTGGTTAATTTTTGTCGAATTCATCATGGTGGGCCAACTGACCTGCATTCATTCTCACCTATCATCTTCCACTGGTGCCTCGTCGGTGTACACCGATAGCGCGGGCGGGGTTACCATTTCATTTTTACCGATTAAAAAAAGGTATACGCTGGTATATACCATCTTTTTTTAATTAGTGTTTTTTTTTTTTTTTTATTTAATGCCTCTTTATCTTGCTTTTTTGTAATTAATTATTGTGTACATATTGTTAATTTTTACAATCTGTATCATTATTTGGAGGGAACAATAAAGAGTTATCATTAATTCATTAATTTCCCCCTAAAATATTATTTCTTACTGATGCTCCGTCAATATACACTGATAGCAAACGCGAGGTCACCATTTTCATTTCTATACCATTAAATACCCCATGATTGGTAACCTACATTTATAGAAACAGAAACCTTATTGCACCTTCATTTAGATATTATGGAAGAAAAATTAATATTTCCAAGCGTTCTGCTGCAAATCGGCTTTAGAATCGATGTTACTTGAACCCATAATTAACTCAACTACTTACCATACATGTCCAATTCATACAGAACGATTTAAACGATAAATATATATGTATACTAGCTGACTCAGCAAACGTTGTTTTACCATATATGTTATTCAAAAACTATACATGAAAATTTATCGTAATACAATTATTATATTCGATTGCCATCTTGCAAGCCTATTGCGACATATAAAAATCGCTATTAAAAAAACAGGGGTTGATCGTAAAAGCGTAAAAATTTGAATTTGTATGTATTTTTCAATGCTAAATCATAATAAAATAAAAATAAAAAAAATAATAAATAAATATTTATGGGTACGAATGTTACCCTTATCATTGAGGGGTATAAAAAATAGATGTTGGCCGATTCTCAGATCTACCCAATATGCACACAAAATTTCATAAAAATCAGTAAAGCCGTTTCGGAGGAGTTTGGTAACAAACACCGTGACACGAGAATTTTATATATAAGATATATGTAATACATATATATACATACACTAAAAGGTCCTTATTCACGCTTCCATCGATTCGATTTCACTATTTGCGGATTAAAAAATTGCGACCCAATTCCTATATTCGCGGCTAAAGATTTCTATATTCGCGGATCTAATCGATACATATTATTAAAAAGAAATAGTAATCCTTTGTAAACGCGTCGGCAAATAGACTAATAAAAAACCCCGCGAATAAAGAGCTTTTACTATATATATATATATATATATATATATATATATATATATATATATATATATATATATATATATATATATATATATATATATATATATATATATATATATATATATATATATATATAATATAAATAATGCCACTTTTCGTTGTAATTTTACAACTCAAGAACGGGCTCACCTATCCAAACCAAATGTTTACGCTTTGTTCGGACTATTTAGTAGATGGTTTATGTGAAGTTTGCACAAAATCGGTCGAGTGGTGCACGGAGCTCATTTGTTTACCACCTTCCTGGTATGGTGGTATATTTATAATAAAAAAAGAACTCCTACCGGATTTAAATCACATATTCAAAGTTTGTCACTTCATAAACTACTGTTTTTTTTTTGAGAAATCATTAGTTATTATATATATAGTAGAAATCTTATATTGTTGTAGTAGAAATATATATAGTTATAGAAGAAATCTTATATTGTTATAGTAGAAATATATATATAGTTATAGTTACAGATGGGCAAAGCACCGGGTTTAAACCCGGTGCTTTGGTAAAAACCCAATAAACACCCATAAACTCCCATAATCACCCAAAAAAATAGGTTTTTACGTATTTTTTTGAAAATATGTAAGTAATACCAATAAATTATTTTTATAAATTGTATTGATCAATTCTACAATATTAAATAAAACGTTAACTAATAATATTTCAGGAAATTTTAAAAATCTATATATAATAAAATGAAAGTAATTAATTTTCAGTGTTTTCATGTTGCAGTTGATCAACATGTTGGCCTTTTGCTTCCCGTAGATACTTTAAAATTTCTTCATAACACCTCGTTCGCACACATGGCCGTATATATTTAAATTCTTGAGCCACTAACAGTCCGACATACTCCTTTCTTTTAGCCTCTTCTCCATAAATTCAGCATTTAGAACAGTTTGTTTCTTCTTTCAGTAAATTTTCTTTTACTTTATCCTCGTTTTTTTCTTTGTTGCGACGACGCTGGGTAAATCATCTGGACACTGGGTCTCACTATCGCCAAATATATTTGGAGATCGGCTTCGGCTACGGCTTGGCAGACATTTTTTTCTTTCTACAATTTTAAATTAAATTTATTAGAATAAATGCTTCGAACACACGCGATCTAAGTACCTTTTGTGTTTATTATACCTTACCTACCTAGGTATAAAAAGAGTACTTACGTAGATTTTCTTTTATTAACTGTTTTATACGAAGATCTTGATCTCTCAAATTAGCATCCATTTTACTTCCAGTGATTATCAACTAAATTAATAATCCACAAAGTATTAAATAACGTTTTTATGAAATATTTAGCACAAAAACAATACCCTTTAAATATCGATCGTCAGTAACTGTGGCTGACTTACCTATATTCTAGCAAGCAGGACTGCCAGATGTGAAGGGGAAATCCCCAATAAATTGTTGCATGTGACTGATGATGTGAGCATGTTCGTTTCATAATAAAAATGTTGCCAGGTAACCAAAAAGTCGTATGTTTTTGTGCGAATTACTATCATAATCTTTACGATCGTACATTAAAAAATAGACAAATAATAGTATGAGTACGATTTAAATCGTATATCTGTCAACCCTGCTAAAGACAGCGACAAAATCACGTTGCATAACAATGTAGCCCAAGCTTATATCTTATGAAATATACGGAAGAGATACGGACTTAGAAAAAACAGAAATGTTGTTCTTTGTGGAAGTCATTGATGAAATTCTATGTATTTTAGCCCGCAAACTTTCTTCAAACAAAAACAGCGCCATCTAGTATCGAGTTCTGTAATTATCTCTTTGTTTATGGATTTGAAGTAAGACCGCCACGCATGCAATACATTATGACTGGGGATTCCCCTATTCGTCGACGCTGAATATGAGGCGACGACAATCACTGTCAAACGTGTTCACTATTACTCTGACTCTGGTAACGTGACTTCCTGGTAACGTGTTAGGTAGGAAAAGCAGTAAAAAAGTGCATATTAAGGGAGCAGATTTGAAATAATATTTATACTTAACAAGAAATAATTAAAGGTAAGTGGATTTTTGAATGATACAATTATATCATGATCACTTAACAATTTTAACTTAAAATTAGATGTATTATTACAAGCTTTTATTTAGCTTGCGTTATGTAAATAAAAGTATGTAGGTATGTTCGTATGTTGATGCAATTATCCTCAATCCTCATACTGGGATAAAATTTTCCATACACGTTTATTTTGGATGATAGTGCATAGTTAGCTGAGAGTCGTCATTGGATAATAATGGTGGATAGCCTAAGATGTGTACTAGATATTTATTTTTAACATAATATGCGTAAGTACCTAATCGAATTAAAGAAGTTATGAGAAAAATACAGAACAATACGATAATAAACTAGCGTCTGCGTTTAATCCTCCGAGGAGATGTAATTTTACAAAGGTTTTTTGTATTTATTTTATTATTTTTTTAATAAATTTATTGTAAATAACAAGAAATAATCATTGTAAAAAAATAGGCACTCTATTGTTGAATTTTCGTCAGACCAACTAATCATCGTTCATTTTTTTAGGTTCAATGGGGAGACCTAAAGATTTACGCATATGGGAGCACTACCGTACTTTACCAAACAAGTCTGTTTCTTGCAAGCTTTGTAATAAGGTCTACAAATTCAGTAATGCTGCCAAAATGCTTCAACATCTTATCACTTGTCCAAAATCTCCAGAAACATTAAAAGACTCTATGAAACTTATAAAAGATAGCTCGTCCAAAACCAAAATGTCTGGACTGTCAGAGATAGAGACAAATGATTCTTTTATAAGCCCCTCGTCATCTGCTAACACTACAATAAATGCTGAGTTTCAAGACACCGATGATCATATAAAAACAGAATTAGCGAGAGCTATATTTGTAACAGGGACGCCATTATCGATGGTGCAACATCCTTTATGGATACAATTTTTCGAAAAATTGCAACCAAAATTTAAAATACCTTCACGTAAAGCTTTAGCGACAAAATACTTAGATAAAATATATAGAGAAATGCGTTTTGAGTTAAATGAGGAACTAAATGCTTGTAGTTACTTACACCTTCAGTGCGATGGCTGGTCTAATTTAAGAAATGAAGGAATAATAAACTTTCTTATATCAAAACCTCAACCTGCATACGTTAAAAGTTTGAATACAGAAAGTAATCCTCACACTAGTGAATACCTTAGCCAAGAAGTTGAAAAAGTAATGAAAGTGTATGGAGCAAATAAGTTTCTTGTACTTATTGGCGATAACGCTAGAAATATACAAAAGGCATTCGAATTAACAAAACTCAAATATCCACATGTTGTTCCTCTCGGTTGCTGTGCACATATCCTTAACTTGTTGTGCCAAGATATTGTAAAGATACAAGAAGTAACTGTGTTTATTATGCAAGCCATAAATATAATAAAAACTGTTAAAAGGAGTCAACGATTAAGTTCCTTGTTGATAAAATCAAGGCAGGGTGAAGATTCTACACAAACACTAAAATTGCCTTGTGCTACAAGATGGGGAAGTCATGTTACTTCGTTAAAAAGTTTGAAAGCAAATAAGATAGCTTTGCAAATATTAACAGTTAGAGAAGATGTGGTAATTTCAAGAGATATTAAAGATTTAATTCTAAGTGATGATTTCTGGACGAAGACAGGGGAATGTATAAGTATTTTGGAACCAGTCACTGAAAGCATATTTTACTTAGAGAGCGACCAGAATCGTTTGCATCGCACATACATTACATTTAGAGATGTACAAGCTAAGATACGTTTTGCATTAAATGAGATTTCGACATTGAGCGAAGAAAGCAAACAGCAGATTCTAACATCAGTATCTTCAAGATGCAATATGGCAATGAGGCCAATACATTTTGCAGCATATATTCTAGACCCCAGGACTCTAGGAGTCGAACTTACTCAAGAGGAAGAACTTAAGGGTATGGAGTTTATCTACAATTTAAGCCAACACTTAAGTTTGTCAAATGTAATGGCAGATTTGGCGTGTTATAAAGCTAAAGAAAACTTTTGGGCCAGAGGATTTGTATGGAGCTCATTAGATAGCATTGAGCCCCTAATATGGTGGAAAGGTATTTGTGGTTCCACTGAGTTAAGCAAAGTAGCGATTCGTATTCTATCAGCTCCCTGTACTTCGGCAGCCACTGAGCGTTCCTTTAGTATCCAAGGCTACATACATAATAACAAAAGAAATCGACTTACAACTGAAAGAACTGAAAAAATTTCATTCATTTGTTATAACTGGAATCTTAAACATAAAGCTGAATGCGAGGACATTCAGTTTAATGAAGAAAATACCTTAGAAGCTTTCATTGAGCAAGTAAATGAACATAACAGTTTAGACGAAATAGAGCCTATCGAACCTATACAATTCATCGCTTGTAATAACTCTGAATCTGACAGTGATTGACTGTAGTTTTACATTTTACTTTCATCTCTTTCTTAATAAACTCAAAATCAAATTAAAAGTTTTTTATTCTGTAGGCTGCATAATAATATTGTCTATGTCCAGTATAGTGGACGTCTTGCGGCTGAGATGACGATGATGAAGTACAAAATCATAAACACCCAAAAATTTGGGTGTTTATGGGGTTTAAACCCAATAAACCCAAAACACCCGGTTTTTACCCACCAGACTTTAAACCCACCCAGGTGGATTGCCCATCTCTAGTTATAGTAGAAATCTTATATTGTTATAGTAGCAATATATAAAGTTATAGTAGAAATCTTATATTGTTTACGGTTTTGTTCTGTCAGTCTAAATTAATTCTTTATCTGTGAATTTTCTTCAGATAATTTTATTACCGTTTGATTAAAATTTGCAATCGAGACGCAATCAAGGGCATATTCGAGTTGATTTCTGTATTTAAATACGGTTACCTAATCAAGACCTCGTTGTACTTCCTTGACAACGTCATCTATTTAATTCGTTCATTTATTTATTTTAACATTTTTATGCAACTTAGAATGGCAAACAAGCTGACGGCCCACCTGAAGGAAAGTGGTAACCGTCGCCTATATACATGAGCAGTACCATGGACATAACAAAGTAGTTTCGCTCATGATACCCCCCATGCGTTGCCATTCCTGAGGACTCAGATGTTATTCTTCTGTACCCTGTAAATTCACTGCCATATCCCACCCTTCAAACCGAAACACAGCCATGCAAACACAACTGCTTCACGGCTCACCTGATGGTAAGTGACTACCGCCGCCCATGATCACCCACAACACCAGCAGCATTGCAGGTGTGCTGCCGGCCTTTTAAAAAGGAATATGTTCTTTTCTTGAAGGTTATGTTGTCGTATAATACCGTGAATATAATTTTAACAAGCTTTTTAAATCATATTTTTTTTTTATAAATCTACTCCTCATCACTGGTGCCCCGCCTACGTATGCCGATAGCGCGGGCGGGGTTACCATTCCATTATAATTCATTAATAAAAACACCTGGGGGGAAAGGGATTGTCAATAATACGGACTATCAGTCCCATTGCTAGCAATATACTCTGTCAAGTAAACCTCCACGTGCTACCCTGGACATCATCGTGCTGATTTCCAGGTGTATTTATCACGATGGGCTAACTGACCTGCCTTTTTATCATCACCTATCATCCCTCACTGGTGCCCCGCCAGCGTATACCGATAGCGCAGGCGGGGTTGCCGTTTTATTATCATCCAGTACAAAAAAAAACACCAATCTTTAAAAATAGTGACACATAAGTATTATAAGGGTGTCAAAGTGTACCCTATGATGTCCACGGTGCTGTTCATGTCTATAGGACGGTTACCACTTTCCATCAGGTGGGCCGTCAGCTTATTTAAGATAATACGTTTCGAAAAATGTTGCAACAACGTACACCTTAATAAGTCGCGGTCGAGTAAATGCTCAAAACGGCGTCCACTCGTGTTTACCCCGCGACCGACACACCGTGAAGATATACACGCATAAGATAAAGTGATAGCGGGGGACGCGAATAGGGTTGCCACCTTTGACAAAAAAAAAGAAATATATCCTTGGAATAAGAAATGCAGAAGAACTTTATAAGGTTTCGTTTAATTAATTTTTCGAGAATTTACTAAGTAATTAAAAAAAAATTAAGATAAAAAATGAAATATAATTATGGAGTCAGGCTTTTAATCGGTTTAAACCAGAAAATCTAAATTGTAATAAAATAATAAAATTTACTAGATGTATATTTCCTACATAATTGCATACATATCTATCACGCCTGTCTTCCATTAGGGTAAGCAGAAATAGGTGGAGGCAGGTGTAATATTTCATTTAAAACATAAAATGGCGTGAATTTACTGGGTACAGAGGAATAACACCTGAGTCTAAATGGACAGTTGATCTCAAATGAATTGCAGGGTGTCAGTGGATGCAGGTGGCTCAGGGCCATTCCTTATGGCGGTCTATGGGGGAGGCCTATATTCAGCAATGAACATGTAATGAAATGACTTGGATTTTACATATAATTTATTTGTTTTTTGTTTTATACTACTTAGAACGGCAAACAAACTGACGGCCCACCTGATGGAAAGTGGTAACCATCGCCTATATACATGAGCAGTACCGTGGACATAACAGAGTATACTGTTTCGCCCGTAATACCCCCTATGTGTTGCCATTCCTGAGGATTCAGGTGTTATTCCTCTGTACCGTGTAAATTCACGCCATATCTCACCCTTCAAACCGAAACACAGCCATGCAAACACAACTGCTTCACGGTTGGAACACGAATAAAGTTGGATTAAAATTTTAAAATGTAAACCGTAAATTACTTAATAACTCCATCTCGTTGAAGATTGCAAATTTTTGAAATCTCTGTGTCAACTTGGACTACTCCAAATGGAATTGAATTTGCCTCTCTCGCTAATCATACAACAAATAAAATCCAATGATTGCCAACCCTAATTTCAGTCCGAGAGGGCGGCAAAAGGGCGGTCCTATTGCCTTTAAAAGGCTGTGCGCAAAACTTACTAACAGAGTACCACAACGGTTGTCAGTGAGCGCTATCAGCTGCAAAGGTAAGATCTACCTTTATCAAACTAGCGATCCGCCCCTGTTTTGCCTGTAATTTTTTATAATGCAGAATGTACCTCATGTTACACCCTGATCATGTAGCTTTCTATAGTTGAAAGAATTTTTCAAATTGGTTAAATATTTTTTTTATATTAATTTAAAAATTACAAAAAAATTAGTCCAGAGTCCTCAGTAATGGCAACGTATGGGGGGTATCATGGGCGAAACAGTATACTCTGTTACGTCCATGGTACCGCTCATGTCTATAGGCGACGGTTACCACTTTCCATCAGGTGGGCCGTCAGCTTGTTTGCCATTCTAAAATGCATATATTTTTTTTTTATTTTCTATAATTTAATTTAGATTATCTATATTGAAGATTTGTCTAAAAAATAATTTATTATCTAAAACTTGGTAATTCAAAAATTTATTTAAAAGTTTTAAAATTTCACTTACAATTATACGTACGTACGTATCGTAAATCCATGGGTCTCTATCGCTCTATATCTGTATAGACGCTGTCCAAATAAATATAAAAAAATAACCAAATTTATATTAAAAAAAAAAGAAAAAATTAATTAACATCTTATTTCTTGTAATTGTTTATATTTATAATTAGTTATTTTTTTTTATACAACTTAGAATGGCAAACAAGCTGACGGCCCACCTGATGGAAAGTGGTAACCGTCGCCTATAGACATGAGCAGTACCATGGACATAACAGAGTATACTGTTTCGCCCATGATATTATATTATTATCCTCTCCATGCAAAGGTTGCCTGCAAGAGATCGCTGTTAGCGATAAGCTCGCCCATTGTTTTCTCATTGTGATTATTTCTTGTAATTGTTTATATTTATAATAAGTTTACTATTGTAATCTTTTGGAGGAAACAATAAAGAGTATCTATCTTTTTATCTTTTTAGTAACAAATCATCAAAATCTATTTATAATAAACATATATATCGGCTAGTGATGAGTTCTGTCCAGCAGTGGACAGATAATGGCTGAAATAATGGTGGAATGAGTCATCTGTATCGATACTTATAATAAATCTGTAGAGAGGTCAATTCTGTACATGAAATATATTTCCGAAATAACTATCAGGCGGTGATTAGTGATCGATACTGATGCCAGAAATGCAATCAGTAAAATTTTTGTCTGTCTGTCTGTATGTTCGCTATAGAAACAAAAACTACTCGACGGATTTTAACGAAACTCGGTACAATTATTCTTCATACTGCTGGGCAGGTTATAGTATACTTTTCATCACGCTACGATCGATAGGAGCAGAGCAGTGAAGGGAAATGTTGGTAAAACGGGAGAAGTTACTCCATTTCTAAGCTTCCGTCGCGTGTGCAGCCTTAATAGCCACTTTTTAAATTGTAAAAATGTCCACCCGTGCGACGCCGGGACCGGCCGCTAGTTTTCAATAAGCGCGACTGTGTCCAACGTCAGTGGACTTTTAAAACGTACTTTCAATTTCCAGCCCCCAGAAAAGCCAATGTCCCGAAATATAGGAGAAATCCTTTTCAACCGCCTTCAAAAGAAGGGGTTTCAATTCGTTGTAAATTTGTCAATGTTTGTTACCACATAACTCCTACAGTTGTAAACCGATTTGGAAAATTCCTTTTTTATCTGAAAGGATTAAGGCGAACTTATCTCTAAAAGAGACCTCGCCACATAAGACTGATCGCCACTAAGTTCAGTTTCAAAATTAATTTACAAAAATTCTTAATTGACAGGCAAAAGTTAGACATTCCAGCAAGTTGCCTCCATGTTCCATTTGTCTGCTAGATAGACTGTCATATCTGTCTGTTTACTGTATGGATAATCTGGTAATATTGTTTTATTGTTACCCTATTCCCTTTGGCCGCGACAGAATATCAGTGCTTTGCTCTTTTGAGGGCGAAGCAATAAACTGAGTTGTGGCCATTTTGTATTGCTATGGCGCACTCACAAGCGAAAATTGTATTTAGCTTTGTGGATTTTTTTTATCATTTATGTTATCTCGCTTTTTATGTACATCTGTTTTTTTTTTTTTTATTCAACTTGGAGTGGCAAACAAGCTGACGGCCCACCTGACGGAAAGTGGTAACCGTCGCCTATAGACATGAGCAGTACCATGCACATAACAGAGTATACTGTTTCGCCCATGATGCCCCCATGCGTTGCCATTCCTGAGGACTCAGTTGTTATTCCTCTGTACCCTGTAATTTCATGCCATATCGCACCCTTCAAACTGAAACACAGCCATGCAAACACAACTGCTTCACGGTTGAAACACGAATGGGACAGAGGTACCCAAGCAAACGACTATTGTACAAAGTCTCCCTCTGATGTGTCTGTTATAATTTGTGTGCTGTAAGTAATGCAAATAAATTATCTATCTATCTATCTGTCTCGTCCAGTCAACCTAACACTGTTTTTAAATAAAAAAAAACAATTTTCCAAATCGGTCCACAACTGACGGAGTTATGAGGTGACAAACATACAAAAATAATGCAGGAGTAATGAACTCTCCGGTTTTTTTTTAAACCCGTTAAAAATACATAATGAAAAACTAATACAAAATTTTCGGAATTCGTTTAATAACAACATAGCCCCTCGTGTAGTAGTCGCGCAACCCGGGGCGTGTCATCCCCATAATAATGAAAATAACGGACGAATAAAAACCAATTTAATGATACATCAAAGAATTTATGGACAATCAAGTTTGTATTTAATTATTTTCAATTTATTTTTAACCCTTTCAAGCGAAATGGCGTTTTGTTCCAATACTTATATTAATTTTAAAACTTCCATAGAACTGGTTAGCACTTACAAGGTAACGAGTTCGATTTTCCGTTTGAAACTGACAGTTTCCTCTTTTAACAGGTAATAATGGAATGGTAACCACGCTTGTGCTATCGGTATACACCGGCGGGGCACCAGTGAAGGATGATAGGTGAGGATGAAGCAGGTCAGTTAGCCCATCGTGATGAATACACCTAGAATTCAGCACGATGGTTTCCAGACGGGACCACGTGGAGGTCGACCTGATAGGGTATATTGCTAGCAATGGGACTAATAGTCCTCATTACCAGCAATCCCTTTCCCTCCCAGTTTGAAGGGTGGGATATGGCAGTGAATTCACAGGGTATAGAGGAATAACACTCGAGTTCTTATGAATAGGCAACGCATGGGAGGTGTCATGGGCGAAACAGTATACTCTGTTATGTCCATGGTACCGCTCATGTGTATAGGCGACGGTTACCACTATCCATCAGGTGGGCCGACAGCTTGTTAGCCATTCTAAATTGTATAAAAAAAATATAAAAAATGCATAAAATAAAATAAATAAAAATATGAGTGAGACAGAGGTACGCATGCAGACGTATTTCGAAATTCTATAGATTAATTCGAAATAACAACTGGTTGGAATCAAGTCACAGCCAGCGTCAGAATATTTTTGAACAGATTTCAAACAGAAAGGGGGTCTCATTTCGGTTGTATTTTTTTTGTATGTTTGTCACCTCATAACTCCGTCAGTTGTGGGGGAAAGGGATTGTTAGTGATGGAGACTGAGAATCCCATTGCTAGCAATATACACAGCCAGGTCGACCTCCTCGCGGTTCCCCCTGGAAACTATCATGGTTAATTCCTGATGAATTCATCACGATGGGCTAACTGGCCTGTTTTCATTCTCATCTATCACCCTTCACTGGTGCTCTGCCAGCGTATCCCGTTAGCGCAGGCGGGGTTACTATACCATTTTCACCCATAAAAAAAAACTCCGTCAGTTGTAAACCGATTTGGAAAACTCTTTGTATATCTGAAAGGATATCCTTATAGACTGTTTCCATAGAAATTTCATCAAAGTTAATTAAGCAGTTTAATTTGGGACCATAATAACTGGTTTTATTACACATAGAGTAAATTTTTGCGTTTTGTGGAACACACTCTTTATACCATTTAGAAAAAAACCCGAGCCAAACCTGAGTAGGTGATTAGTTGAAAATATTCGAATTTAGAACACGAAACCATATGTCTACAAATATATTATATATCACAAAGGAAAATAATAGTATTATAAGAAACAAAAACAATATGGCACGTGCACAATAACGCGGGAAAACAGTATCGATTGCATAAAGTGAGAAGTATTGTGGAAATTGGTTCAGAATTGACGATTCAGCCGCATATTTTGACAAAGACTCCAAAAATAGAGGCATTTTTAGTCCCGCCTTTTTTATCTTTACAAAAACTTTGAATTAGACGACGCCTTGAAGAATTATTGAAATAAATAGAAATGACGTCAGTTTCTCGATAAAATGTGGGGGGCGTCGAATGACCCCATTCGATTATGACAGTAGGTTGTTTGTAAGGGGAGGTGGAGTTAAAAAATGGTAAGATCAACGATTTTTTTTTATACTACTTAGAAATACCCAGTAAATTCACGCCATATCCCACCCTTCAAACCGAAACATAGCCATGCAAACACAACTGCTTTACGGTAAAAACACGAATGGGACAGAGGTAGCCAAGCAATCGACTTTTGTACAAAGTCTCCCTCTGGTAAATTATTATATATAATTTTTTTTTAATTTGATATGAAATATTTATTTATTTGCTTTAAAAAGACATTTAATATAATAAAGACTATGCAACAAAACTTCACTTTGTTGTCGGACCTTTTCTCTTAGAGACGCGTGGAGGTATCAAGTTGAAATTAATACCACATACTCAGGTCTGCAATCTCTTAAAGCGGTGACAAAAATCAAGCTTCTAAATCGACGCAATCAAACGGTACGGCCGTTTATGTTACATTTATATCGCATATTCTGACCCGTTGACCTGGAATCATGAAATTTAGCAAGAAGCAATGTCATGTAGCACAAGTAAAGGAAAAAATGCGAAAACCGTAGCTTTGTTAGTTATTTCATAGAAACAAAAGTTTCCAACTTAATGATTGTGTACGGAACTCTCGTTGCGCAAGTCCGACTCGCACTTGACCGGTTTTTTTTTTTATTTATATATTTAACACTTTATTGCACCAATATTACAGAACTTTGAAGGATTTTCAAAAAGCATAATGATATGCGTTTGCGTTTTTATGATGAACGGATGATATGATGATGATGATGATGATGATGAACAAATACACCTAGTATTTGAAGCGGTTTAACTAGGGTAAATAAACAATAAATAATTTTAAAGCGTTGATGTAATGCGCTAAAGGTTGTTTTGCAAGTAAGTTACAATTTGAAACCTGAAAGGTTATGTAAATTTCCCCTGCGTTATGATTGGCGTTCTCGCGATGTCGTGATGAGCGACTCTTGGGACTGGTTGATGTTGTGTGTGATTATCTATTAATAACTTAGCAGTCGTCCATTGGTTTTACCGCTGTAACCGCTTCATTATACGCAGGAGTGAACAATATTCATGGCATATTGTTAATGCTTTAACAGTAGTAGAAAAGACGAATCTCATTGTCTCAGGTATCGAACAAAAAAAATACAACAACATTGGAAACCACCTCCTTTTTCTAAAGTCGGTTAATTAGAAATTTTTAATCCAATAATTTACTAAGAGATTTGAACTCGCCGCATCCACGCCATGCTACAAGTGTATTGTTCCTTTTTACTTTCCTTTCGATAGCTAAATATCTGGCTGACAATTTCTGAGCTCCAGGCATCCGTTCGTAAGAGGTGAAAAATAAAAGCAACTACGATAAGTTCCTTCCGCCTCCACTACTGTGCCGACGCGGATGAGGAAATCTCTTGAAACAAGTGGAAAAACAAAAAGAAAACAAACAAAGAGACTTCAATCGTAAAAAACTTAAATGCCTTCATAATTCATGCGCCGCTTTAACTTGAATAAATTTAATGTTGGCCTTATTCAATCTATGTTAGCTGAACTTAAACCAGACATTTTTGAATATCTCTGTAAATTATTGATGCCCATTAATTCTTCTCTTTCTTTCTCTCTTCTTTGTCTAAGGAAAGTAGATAAAGCTTGAGAAATCAGAGGGCCTACCATCAAATGCAAAATGTATATGTTTCGCGGACCATTGTTAATATGGATACCGATCCGATATCTATATATCGGATTTTCTAGACATTGGTAGCGGTATATATATATATATATATATATATATATATATATATATATATATATATATATATATATATATATATATATATATTTTAACTAAAATATATAGATATTGCTATATATATGCCCACACCTAGTTGCTGAAGTTTTTATTTTTATTTTAAGGGCTTTTACCTTCTTCAGGTATATCAGCCCTATCGTACCCTGAACTGCGGGTCGACCATGAAATGAAATTCCGAAATTTCGGACTCAATTTCGTCTTTTTGTTTATACCAAAATCGGACCAATAAATGGAATTTAACATTTCGTTCGTCATACATCCTATTATAAAAGTCCAAAAGAACGATATTGTAACATTTTTAATATTTCCAAACGGAATGTATTATGTAATTTTAACATGAAATTTCTGTTTAGTTTGGCTTCGAAATTTCGGAAAACATTTCATAGTGGGCCTTCTGTTTTCTTCAGGTGGGGACCTGCCATCCTTCACTGGTGCAGGAACTCGGCAGCGTATACTGTTAACGCAGGCGGAGCTACCATTTCAGATTCTGCCATAAAAAGAAAAAGCCCCGGCTGCCAAGTGTGGCAACAACTTCCATAACCCTCCAGGAAGGTCTGTGTCCAGCAGTGGACAGTTAACGGCTGATGTAAATAATGATGATTTATCACCATCATTTCAGCCATTATCCATCAACTGCTGGACATAAACCTCCCTCAGAGACAGCCATAAAGAACGGTCCCAAGCCACCCGCATCCCCGGAATAGCGGAGCCGCCGGGGACCGAAAGCCGTTTCTTTAACGCGTACCATTGGGGGGTTTTGCCAGTAATTGCCACGCTTGGCTGCCTTATTTTTTTCTTTTTTTTTTTACAACACAAGGGGCAAACGAGCATGCGGCACACCTGACGGTAAGTGACTACCGCCGCCCATGATCACACACAACACCTACGGCAATGCAGGTGTGCTGCCGGCCTTTTAAAAAGGAATATGCTCTTTTTAAGGGAGAATTTTATGAAATGGTAGCTACGTAATAATAATGATTATTAAGTCAAAATTTTGTTGGCAGCACGCTGCAGAGTACAGCTGTCTCTGTCCTCCGACCTGCAATAGAAGAGACGACATAATGTGGCGATGGGTCTGCGCGCTCATGCTCTTATTGGCTGCTCTTATCCATGCTGATAATGAGAAAAGAGCCGAAAGTAAGTTTTTCAACAATTTTAATGGTACTTAAAATGGTAAATACGCTGATGGCCCACCTGATGGAAACTGGTAAACGTCGCCTATAAACGTGGACAGTACCGCAGAGTATATTTCCTTGCCTTTCACGTGTTGCCATTACTGAGAACTATGGCATTATGCCTCCGTACTGTGTAATTTCACTGCCATATGCTCGCCTTTCAAACCGAAACACAGCTATGCAAACACAACTTCTTCACGGCAGAAACACGAATAGGACAAAGCAAACCCAGGCAGACGACTTTTGTACAAAATTATCCTCTAATACCTGTACAGTTCCCGTGTGATCCCGGCATAGAATGGGCTACCGCTTCCATTCCCGTGGGTTTCGTAAGAGGCAACTAAGGGAACTTAGCGATCAAGAGATGAGTAAACAACGACCCTCTTAAAACATCACCAGAGCCTAACTACAAATGCCAACCCGCCTGTCAAGCGTGGCAACTATTGGCAAAACCCCCATTATGGGAGAGGCTTATGCCCAGCAGTGGATAGTTAACGGCTGATATAATAATAAACATGACCAGAACAGTATTCCATTATCTATTCCTCAAATTTTGCCAGCAAATTTGCGCAAATAAGATCCCAGGCTTGATTCCCGGTCGTACCAATTTAGGGAACGAGCTTTTCCGAATTGTCTCGAGTCAGGGTGTGCTGGGTGCGCCTAGATATTCTTTCCCTGGGTCCTTATAACATAGGGTAATCTAACTTGAGGTGCAGTTAATTGTATAGCACTTGTCTTTTGGATCTTATGTCTATCTATACACATATATCTATCTATCTATCTATCTTGTTTATTGATTAATCTTCCCAACAGTGTCTCCGATGCCGTTTGTCCTTGGCTCCAGGTACGGACGGTCCCCACCAAGAATGTTGACCCCACGGAATGACAGGTAAGAACTAAGATTTTAAAATAGTTACAATAGATTATTTGATTACAGTTATTTAATTCCAACACCATTAGTAGGGGGCAAAGGGATTGTTAGTAATAGGGTCAAATAGCCCCATTACTATCAATATACCCTGTCAGGTCGACCTCCACGTGGTTCCCCATGGAAACCATCGTGATGAATTTCAGGTGTATTGATCGATGGACTAACTGACCTGCCTTTTCATTCTCATCCCTCACTAATACCCCGCTAGTGTATACCGTTAGCGCAGGCGAGGTTACCATTCCATTATCGTCCATTAAAAAAAAAGGTATTGAGGTTTCTTAAGAGTCGGCAATATACGCGTCATCCCTGATGTTACAGACGCCCATAAACTATGGTAACCTCGTTTACCATCAGACAGCCATATGCTTGTTTGCCACTATAGTAATTAAAAAAAAAACATCTATGGTACAGTTCGTAAGTTACGGTACTATTTTATGTGCTTAGGTTCTTCATGGGCAGTAGATACGGGAAGCGGTCTGAAGGTGCGTCGGGCTCACCCGTGTCCTTAGCACCAGCATCGCCGGCGCTCCTCTGCGAGTTCACTGGACTGTACCCGCTGTACCGATGCACACCACCCACGTCTACTATACGGCAACTGTTTGATAACAGGTAATAAAAATATAACAGGTAGTCACAACTCGGCTGGGCATCATTGCCTTGCCAGACTTTGTACAAAAGTCGTTTTCTTGGCCACCTCTGTTCTATTCGTGTTTCTACCGTGAAGCAGTTGTGTTTGCATGGCTGTGTTTCGGTTTGAAGGGTGGGATATGGCAGTGAATTTACAGGATACAGAGGAATAACACCAAATTGAGAACCTCCTTTTTTTGAAGTCGGTTGAAAATGGCGACGCATGAAGCGTACCGTGGGCATAAATCGCAACATATACTGCTATGTCCATGGTACTGTTCATGTCTATAGGCAACTGTTACCATTTTCCATCAGGTAGGCCGTTAAAATATTATAAAAAATAATATAAGTGAATAACATATATTTTGTATTCTCCAGGAGAAACGAAGAAGGCGGTGAAGAAGAGTAAATAACAGTGCACGCCTCACGCAATATGAAAGTCGTCGAATTCCAAAGTCAATTTGACCATCTAGTCATTTATTTAATGTTATTAGAATTAATTAAAACTGTTACTGGGAACTAGTTACTATAAATCGTCATTTAATTTCTCTTATAACGCTTTGTTTTAGATATATTTATAATTATATATTCTATTGTTGAAAAAATATATGAAACATTAAATACACTACAAAAGATAATATATTGTAAAATAAAAAAAAACTAAATGACATTGACATAGACAAAATAATTTTTCTAGCACCAAACATGAGTCATAGATAAAAAAATATCAAATGCATTATAGATTTGAAAATTAGCACCAATATATTTATTACAAGGGTCTTTTTTTTAATTTATTAAGCTTTGTTTATCATAGAGAATAATAAGTAAATGTATATAAAAAATATAAAATAAAAAGAAAACAATTATATTTACTGTCCGTTTTGCATTCAAAAGTAGAATCACTGTTCTTTTCATAATAAGTGTAACATGCAATTAAAGAGTTTATCTAGATATATTTAAATGTACAATAATCCAAGTATTATGGTGTCTGAATGTACACACAAATCTAGAAGGTGACGTAGTGGACTAGACAGGAGATTAGTTAAGCTAGATAATAAAATTAACCGCTGATTTTGAACACTACTTGCATTGTGAACTTGCTACCATAGACAAAGAATATAAAAAAATATTCATTTGGCGGGAAAGTGTTGAGATAAGTTTGATAATTTCGCGAATGTTTTTAATAACCTATTTTATGGAACTTTACGTATTTCTAATATAATTTTACTGTAATTAAATTTATTAATATAATTACAAAAATGCATCTCAAAATTCTATTACAAATAATATGCAAAATTATGAAAAAAATTTTTAAAAAGATTTTTGTCTAAAATCACTAACACTATCTCTGATCAAATATTGACATTCAAGATCCACTTTTTCACTCAACTGAATATAATAAAATCAAGAGGCTTTATGACTCTGTCTCTGCCTTTCCTGCCACGAATAAAGAATTCTAGCCCGTAGATAAAGGATTCCTTGCAAAGTGTTTCTACCAAATTTTAAATGTTCACGTACAAGCAACGCAAACCTTTATCGTATTAATCAATGATTCTTGCTCCATTCTCTCTTGCTACGACCCTCAACAAAGATTTTGCGAAATTGAGTATTATATCCCTGGTTTCCTTATTCTCAAATATGTATTCCATATTTCTTTCAGACAGTGTTGCATCCAATTTGAACTCGCACTCAAACCGTTTTTTAGCGAATCTTTGACAGTCAAAAAGAATATGCTGTATGACAAGTAGTGCTTCAATTTCAGCAAAGTTTCTATTGCGATCAAAAGGCTGGGAGATCGCAATGGCACATTAGTTATTTCATTATAATACTGTTATCATATGACTGTGTTATTATTATGAGAAATGGTATCAAATAAAATTGAGATGACATTTAAATGTATCATTTATTTCTATCCATTCATTTTATTTTTACCTCATCATCCTCGTGACCAGTATATGTCCACTGACTGTAATAAAAAGTAACCTATATCGTTCTCCATGCCATATACAAGGGCAGATCCAGGGGGGTCATGGGAGTCATGGCCCCTCGCCTCCTTGATTTGGTTCCAGGACTTAGGTGGACCACTAATTGAACATAATGATTTTATTTATTGTTATCAAAATTAAATTATAAGTTCTTGATTAAATTATAAGGACTTGACCACGACTATGTGACCCCCTCCTAGCGCCAAAGCTGGATCCGCCCTTGCCCATATAGTACCTACATGTATACTAAATTTCATAGTGATCGGTTAAGCAATTTATGGGCTAAAAGATAACAAACACACTTTCACATTTAAAATATAAACGATTTTAATATAACATGTCCTTAGACAGATTTAGATCGCCATGTGATTTAGGCGTAAAATGGGGCACCGCTTCTTTTCTCGTAGGTGTCGTAAGAGGCGACTAAGGGAGGGCGAGGGATGGGCAGCAGCGTTACTCTTAAAACATCTCTACAGACTGACTGCGGTTGCCAATTCGCCTGCCAAGCGTGGCAACTACTGGCAAAACCTCCTAAGAAGCTTATGTTCAGTAGTGGACAGTTAAAAGTTGATATGAAGTTGACGATGATATCCTTAGATTATTAATCCTTCTTTGCATAATGGTGGAAATTTCCATCATAACATTGAACGCCCAAAAATTATATAAAAGAACAAGTTCACTTTAAGTTGATCGTGTCTGGACACCTTTTTAATGTCCATTGCAGAAAAAAAAAACATAGCTGTCAAATTAATTTTTTTAAACTTTAATTTTAAATATGAATTATTTCACCAATAAAAAAAATCATGCAAAGAAGGGTTAATACACCTAGATGGAAGTAAAAAACAGGTTAAGTGCGAGTTGTACTCGCACGCAACGGGTTCCGTACATAAATATAAAATGATAGGATCTAAAGTACAATTGAATCATCAATATTATATCAGCTGTTATTAGTCCACTGCTTAACATAACCCCTTGGGGGGGTTTATCAGTGATTGTCATGCTTGGAAGACAGATTGGCAACTACAATTAGACTGGTGATGTTTTAAAAAGAACGCTACTGCCCATTTCTCGTCCTCCCTTAGTCGCCTATTACGATACTCACGGGAAAGGAAGGGGTGGCCTATTCTATGCCGGGACCACGCGGCATACATTCTAGCCACACGTTTGGATATGAAATGTCTAAAATCACAAAATCTTGATTTAAACATAGACTTTTATAGTCAATTTTGAAACTGGCCATTTCATAAACGAGCTATGAGAACTGTTGTAGGACAAACAAGCTGACGGCCGACCTGATGGAAAGTGGTAACCGTCGCCTATAGACATGAGCAGTACCATGCACATAACAGAGTATACTGTGGTATGATGTTACCAGTCATTGGGTGTTATGTTGTCATATCTTCCGCCAAAAATACCAATGGGACAGGGTTTTTTTTTAATAAATGACAATGGTATGGTAACCCCGCCTGCGTTAACAGTATACGCTGGCGGGGCACCAGTGAGGGATGATAGGTGAGGATGAAAAGGCAGGTCAGTTAGCTATCGTAATGAATACACCAGGAATTCAGCACGATGATTTCCAGACGGGACCGCGGGGAGTGTCGACCTGACAGGCCTATATTGCTAGCAATAGGACTGGTATTCCGCATTACTAACAATCCCTTTCCCCCCAATGGGACAGAGATACCCATACGACTTTGAAGACTTATTACTAGACGATGTTTATACTTAGGCGATATTTAGAAAAAAAATTGATATGAGGCGTCACAAATTGAAACTCAAAATTTTCAAAATTTCAATCAGTAAAAACAATTTACCAAAGGGAGACTTTGTACAAAAGTATCCCTTTGGGTACCTCTGTCCCATTCGTGTTTCTACTGTGAAGCAGTTGTGTTTGCATGACTGTGTTTCAGTTTGAAGGGTGGGATATAGCAGTGAATTTACTGGGTACAGAGGAATAACAACTGAGTCCTCAGGAATGACAACGCATGGGGGGTATCATGGGCGAAACAGTATACTCTGTTATGTCCACGGTACTGCTCATGTCTATAGGCGACGGTTACCACTTTCCATCAGGTGGGCCGTCAGCTTGTTTGCTGTTCTAAGTTGTATAAAAAAAAAACAATAATTTTGAACCAACTTTAAAAAGAGTGAGGTATTAAATTCGGTTATATTTTTTTATATTTGTTACATCACGAGAAAGTCTTGATATGTACTAATTTACGCGAGCAAACCCCAGGGAAAATAACCTGTTTATACGTTTCTTAATTTTTATTAACCCCGCATTTGTTTTTGCCACGATTGGTGTTTTTTGCAGAGCGAAATGGTATCGCTTCGATCGTATTGTACATTTATAATCTAAACATGCACTGCCTAGTCTGTTATTGAATTATAAAATTATTTGGTCAGATATAGATACGTGATTCATATACGAAATAATACGTCCCTTTGTCCTGTGTATAACTCTGTTATTGTCCAAAATTACTATGTACAAGTTTTGGTAGTGTCAATAACTTTAGTTGCTTTCCGATATGAGGGAATGTAATATTTGATTATGTAAGTTATGCCTCTTTGTTGACTGTAGACAGACATGACATATTCTTTATTGCACTTGTAAATTACATTGTTAATGCATTTATAAATGTTGTGAGCAAGGGTCGAATTATCTCTGATATGATAGGTTCTGGTATGTTTTTAATGAATGATAAAGAAGCGGTAACCCCTCCTACGCTAATTGCGTATGCTGGCGGCTGACGGGGCACAGGTCGACGGCACAGGTAGCCTATAAGCGTCTGCAATAACAGGAGCTTTACGCGCGCGATGCCGACCCTGAAGGAACCTCTTAAGAACCTTTTGAAGAACCCCATGCTGTAGTCTCTTGGGAAAACCTCGGTAGAGAGCTTATTTCATAACCGGAGTGTTCGTGGGAGAAAACATCTCTGAAACCGCATTGTACGCGACTATTTAGGCTGTAGGGCATGAGGGTGAACTCCCTGTCGATGGCGAGCCGCAGATCAGTTGACCCATCGTAAGGAATTTAATAAGGATTAACCAGGATAATTGCCAAGGAGAACTACATGATTTCTAGCAATGGGGTTGTTGGACTCCGTTAGCAATAATCCTTTACCCACTAAGAGAGATGATAATAGGAGAAATACTTTGAAATTCTATTAGTTAATTACTCAAAAATGTAAATAAGAAAGTAGCAAACAGGGTTTTCCTTACCGCATAATTACTTTTCTATTTTTCTGAAGGTTGACTGGTAGAGAACGCCATCAGGCATTAAGTCCGCCCTGTAGACCTATTTTAATGTGCGCAAAAGTATAAATAGGGACCAGAGGGAGACTTTGTACAAAAGTCGATTGCTTGCGTACCTCTGTCCCATTCGTGTTTCTACCGTGAAGCAGCTGTGTTTGCATGGCTGCGTTTCGGTTTGAAGGGTGGCATATGGCATGAATTTACTGGGTACAGAGGAATAACATCTGAGTCCTTAGGAATGGCAACGCATGGGAGGTATCATGGGCGAAACAGTAAACTCTGTTATGTGCATGGTACTGCTCATGTCTATAGGTGATGGTTACCACTTTCCATCAGCTTGTTTGCCATTCTAAGTTGTATAAAATAATAATAATAATAAATAAGTGTAATTTTTGTATTACAATCTATTACAATATGATTTATTTTTCAATTAATTCGCTTGTAAAGACACGTCATTGTTTTCACATTTTGTGTATTTTGACATTCAAATATTTGCACAACTCTCGACTTAGCCGAACAGATGGACAACAGTGTCTATCTTTTATATATATATATATATATATATATATCTAGAGAGAGAGAGAGAGAGAGAGAAATTAGTAAATGTCAAATATTGATGAGCGGACGACTCCTCGCAAAATGATGTTGATTTTGAATAATTGTTTGTCACCTCCCGTCCCCTTAACTGCTCATCGTCATCAAATTCGCTATAAACATTGCATATTATTTGGAATGGAGTTAAATTCAAAATAAAGACGAATCGAGGGAACTCCTTCGTTTGTATGTCGCTTGAATTTGAAAGTCAATTAAATTTTGGTCCTGTAACGCGCATTTCCGTTTTCTAAATTCAAATATTTTCTCACGGTCTTTTTATAAATAAAATAAAGCCAATACTACTTGCTGATAATTGTTTACTTCATTCCATACTGTATAACTATGTTAAAGTAAATGCTGTGAATACCTTCAATAGGCGTGTGCATTAATATTGTATTATATTTAATGCTTATTATATGTATTATAATGCAACATAAATTGATAACACTGTCATGCAAACACAACTGCTTCACGGTTGAAACACGAATGGGACAGAGGTGCTCAAGCAAACGACTTTTGTACAAAGTCTCCCTCTGGTAAATTTTCTAGTAGAGTTTGTTTGTTTGTTACCTTATTTCATATTATCTTATATTATATACCTTATATATTATTTAATTCCTTATAATTGTTTACTTTATTTCACATTGTATAATTATGTTAAAGTGAATGCTGTGAATACCTATAATAGGCGTGTGCATTAATATTGTATTATATTTAATGTTTGTTATACATATATGTTATAATGCAATATGCTGTTGGTGTTCCTTTAAATAAATAAAAAAATAACGCTTTAACTGTTTAACAATCGCTGTGAAATTTTGTATAGTTCAAAATCATCCTTTTTACTTGTACATACATTGACAATAGTTTTTTTATAAAAAAGAAAATTGATAAACAATTGAAATAAAACAAAATAAATATATATAGTACATCAAGTCAACAGACGGCATCGCCACTAACAATTAAATATAATAAATAAATAAATAAATATATATATATATATATATATATAACAAGAACTAGCATATTTTATAAACAAAATAGTGGTCCTTCGTATA